TCCCTATCAAAGGTAAATAAACTCGTCACATACACAAGCTCATAGGGTCAGAGGTCAGTGTCATGAGAGGTAATATATATGACCAGTCAGGCATATCCCGCGACGCTCTGCGTCGATTTGCCGGGCTTTCTTGTTTCTACAGAGTTTATGTAGGGTGCTGCTGGTTTGGGGTGTTATGTCAGCAGGCAGAGTTTAGGAGTCTGACAGCTGTGGGAAAGAAACTGTTTCGGGACCTGGTAGTCTTAGTCCATAGGCTCCTGTAGCGCTTCCCAGAGGGCAGGAGGGTGAAGAGTCCATTCTATGGGTGACTGGAGTCTGATGGTTTTCCCTGCCTTTTTCAGACACCAAGAAAAGAGGAGAGTAACTTTATTTTGTTTGTGTGATTTTATTTTGTTGTGTGACTACTGGTTGCAGTTCCCTGTTCAATTGATTGCTGTTCCCTGTTAAATTAAAAAAGAAAAAAGTCTAAAATTTTGTTTTGACTGGAGAGAACTAAAAAAGGTTACACTGTCTTCTGGTACTAGCTCAAAATAACAAGTGGTGCTCGCTGCAGAACCACAAAGGCGGAGCTGCACCAGAAGGTGGAGCTGCACCAGAGTCAGCCCCGCCCATTCCAGAATCAGCCCCGCCCATTCCATCAGAGTCAGTCTAATTCCTTCCAGTTGTCAGACTTGATAGCATTCTGGAACCAAAGAGGGTGTTGTAGCTAAAAAATGCGAGATTGAGGACGGAGTTGAGAAGTTAATTGAACAGTTTTTGTAAAGGTTCCATATAATAAAAAATCTAACTTTTGGAACTTTTAAACATGTTATATTGTCATTTCCTCATAAGAAACACGCCAAAGCCATTTTTAGCCTCATTCATGCATTTTCCTCCCATCTCAGCTTCAATTTGGTCTCCTCCCCCGAAGCGGGTCTGGTCTTGGTTCTCAAATCTGGATATTCTGTGAATTTTCTGGCAAATTATTTCTGAAATGACTTCTACTGAGACACCGCCAATAAACCATACATCCCATCTCAGAGACACACTGGGCAGCACAATTACATGTAACGCCACATGATTTATAACATATGTGGTGGTGTAGTGGTTATGGAGTCAGGTTGACATGCTGTTTCGCCTCCGAGTAGTGTAAGTTTTAGGTAGTTTACAACCTCTTTTCTTCATTTCTAGCTACACTTGCCAGTACTATGTTTACAACAATTTACTGGTATACCGTTTAACATAATGTGTTTATTTATTTATTTATTCGTTTATTTAGCCAATGTGAGTCCATTTGTGAGCAGAGTTTCAACTAAAATGCTGTTTAGGAACGACCAAATTCAAAGAACTTTTAGAGACATAAATATTTTGCTGAAAATAAACATTACAACTAAAATATAAACAAATTAAATGTTTCAGCTGGCTAAATGGACTGCTGACGACCCCACCGAGAATCGAACCAGCATCAGCTGAGGGGAAAGCAAAAACCAACTCAGACGATTTTACCACTAGACTACCACAGCCAATTGAATACACTGAAGTGCTGTTGTACATGACTTTTGTTAGACCAGCTGTAGGCAGATATTCGCTAAAAGAAACCTTTTTCATTTCGAGATATATTCAGTCTTTGTCATGTAGCAAGTTATATTTATCTTGTTTAATTGGAGCATAGAACATAGCATTAACGACTGTAAACTAGTAACAGCCGTAATTCATGTGGGTCAGGTCAGTTTGCGATAAAGTTGAAAACAAAAACGGAAGTCAGTGGGCTAGGCTGAGTGTGCGTGAATGGGCGGGGTGCAGCTCCGCCTTTGTGGTTTTGCAGTGAGCACCCTCTCCAAAATAACCACAGTTTTTTCCCTCAGTGTCATTTGATCTATTTCTTGGGAAGATGGATGGATGGATGGATGGATATATATATATATATATATATATATATATATATATATATATATATATATATATATATATATATATATATATATATATATCTCAATAATTATTTTTAATATAACCTTTTTCAATACCAAACTTTCAATACCAAACAAAAATGAACTACAATAAAATAAATAACTGGCACACTAAATTCCAATTCTCCTCTATGGGACTTGAACTCGCCACTGATCTCCCTTACACAACACCAAACGAGGTGCTTTACTTGATTTGGGAGGGGGGAATAAAAGCAGTAAAACAATAAAACTTTGAACATTACAACACAAAGAGAAAATAAATAATGTTACGGCAATTGCGGAATGCCATCTGCGGGATTCGAACCCGCCGCAACGACCAACCAGTAGGTGTCAAACCATGACTAATGAGTGCAGGCCTTGGTGCTCAGGGGCACCCATCAGTATGTGATTGCGAGGCCACAGCACATACGTTTTAGACTGGGTGGGATTCTTATACCCAACAGGAATCTTCTGCCCGCCTTCTCATTAGAATATGCATAATTTGTGTTTCAGGCACTAGTTAACTAGTGAGCTGCTGCACTGCCACACATGTAAACTGGTGAAATTTCAATTGATCCACTAGTTAACTAGTGGACAAAAATGGTCAGCTTGTATGTGTTTTTAGATGTAACTAGTTAACTAGTGAGCAAATCCGCACCTCACTAGTTAACTAGTGAGGTGCAGATATGCTCACTAGTTAACTAGTGAGGTACTAGTGAGGTGCAGATATGCTCACTAGTTAACTAGTGAGCAAATCCGCACCTCACTAGTTAACTAGTGAGCAAATCCGCACCTCACTAGTTAACTAGTGAGCAAATCAGCACTTCACTAGTTAACTAGTGAGCAAATCCGCACCTCACTAGTTAACTAGTGAGCATATCTGCGCCTCACTAGTTAACTAGTAAGCAAATCCGCACGTCACTAGTTAACTAGTGAGCATATCTGCACCTCACTAGTTAACTAGTGAGCTAATCCGCACCCTACAAGTTAACTAGTTGGCGTTTTGGGGCCCACTAGTTAACTAGTGAGCATATCTGCACTTTACAAGTTAACTAGTGATGCTTTTTTGCACCTTACTAGTTAACTAGTGGGCGCTTTAGGGCGCACTAGTTAACTAGTGAGCAAATCTGCACCTCACTAGTTAACTAGTGAGCATATCCGCACCTTACTAGTTAACTTGTGGGCGTTTTGGGGCCCACTAGTGAACTAGTGACACTTATTTTGCACCTCACTAGTTAACTAGTGGACATTTGTACCCTCACTAGTTAACTAGTGAGCAGTTCCGCCTTCACAGGTTTACATGTAAGTGTCACACTGAAGCCACTAGTTCACTAGCTGAGGTTCCTCTGGCCAGCATGTTAACTTGTGTGCCGCATGCAAATGTTTGGGGTGGGATTTTGCAAAATTCCGCACTGTGATTGGTTGTCATATTTTATTTTAACATAGTGAGCCAATAGAAAGCCTCAATTTGAGAAATTCTCCGCCTCCTAATTAGAATTCTGTGCAACTAGCTAGCTAGTGTGAATGTAGGCTTGAACTACTTTGCTAGTATACATTTATGTCCTCACTAGTTAACTAGTTTGGACAATGGATGCATCAACTAGGTAACTAGTGAGCCTGATACAATCAACTAGCTAGCTAGTGAGCCATTAATGGTTCACTAGTTAACTAGTGGCACTGACCTACTCCAACTAGTTAACTAGTTAGGAGTTTTGCCTTCACTAGTGAACATGTGGACACTTTGAACTGTCACTAGTTAACTAGTGAGACACAAAAACCTTCAACTAGCTGACTGGTATGCATTTTAGCCCCTACTAGTTAACCAGAGAGCCATTTTTGTGTCACCTAGTTAACTAGGAAGCCAAAATGTGTTCACTTGTCAACTAGTGGGCATTTCTGCTGTCACTAGTTAACTGGTGTGCACATTTTGGCCATCACTAGTTAACTAGTGAGACACAAAAACCTTCAACTAGCTGACTGGTATGCATTTTGGCCTTTACTAGTTAACTAGTGAGCCATTTTTGTGTCACCTAGTTAACTAGTGAAGCCAAAATGTGTTCACTAGTTAACTAGTGAACATTTCCGTCTCCCACTAGTTAACTGGTGGGCTCATTTTGACCCTGACTAGTTAACTAGTGAGACACAAATACATTAAACTAGCTGACTGGTATGCATTTTGGCCTTTACTAGTTAACTAATGAGCCATTTTTGTGTCAACTAGTTAACTAGTGAAGGTCAAAATGTGTTCACTAGTTAACTAGTGTGTACAGTTTGACCCTCACTAGTTAACTAGTTGACCTGTTGACAAGATATCAGAATTAATGCTCAAGCGGCTGGCCAAATTGGGCAAAGTTAACAAGTGGGATTTTTACATTCAGTAGTCAGCTAGTACGAGTTTTTGTACCTTACTAGTTGACTAGTAAAAACTAAATGTGTTTTAACTAGTTAACTAGTGGACATTGATTTATCCACTAGTTAACTAGTGAACACACTGAGCAATACTAGTTAACTAGTAAGATATGAAACATTTTAACTAGTTAACTAGAGAGAATTTAGGCCTTACTAGTTAACTAGTTGACATTTAGGCAGTCACTATTTAACTAGATGACACAAACATGGCTAACTAGTTAACTAGTGGACAGAAATGGCTTACATGTTCATGACAATTCTGGCTGATATCCTGATATCAGAATAAATGCTCATTTGGCTTGCCATAGGGATGTGTCGATTTCCACAGTTAGCGTTGGACTAGACAGAAAATAACTTTTTGAATATTCCTGACTTAAACAGTCTGTCAATATTTTATGTGTTGTTTGCTGCAGGACTCCCTTGAAAAAGAGGTTTTAAATCTCAGTGAGTTTTTTCCTGGGTAAATAAAGGTTAAAAACAGTATGGTCCCTGTGAGCACGCGGAGTGGGGGCTCCCAAGTCTATTTTGCCATGGACCCCCAAATGCCTTAAACGGCCCTGCATGTAAAAGGAGCAACAAGAGAAGCATCATCCACCATTTTAAACAGAATTTTCAAAGATCATGACATGATCACGTTTTCCTGATGCTGGTTTTTGTTCACAGAACTAAACAAGAACCGGAGGAAGCTATTTGAGCCACCCATCAGGTCCTCGTTCCTAGAGGGAGGCGCGAGCGGACGGCTTTCCCGGCAGTTTCACGCTGACGTGGCCAGCGTCAGCGGGCGGTGGTAGTCCATCCCAAAGGAACCTCTTAAAACCATCCATGAAGACCGGAATCTACTTGTTGCCCACCTTTCAGCAGGTGTTTGCCCTTTTTGAGCTTCGGCTGATTAAAGACTGTTAAAACAAAGCAAAAACGTATTTTTAAAAAGCCATAATTTTACCTGAAGTGCCAACTAGAAAAAGGGAATCCTCAGACGTAAGTGGTTCAGTGTTGACTCCTTTTAGAATAATTGAATCTATCTGGAGAATTTACATATGAAGGATGTTGTTGTGGTTCTGGAGAAAAGGTACTGTCCAGTATTTCCGTCCACTTTTTGCATAAAGGGACCAGGCAGAATGATTAGTACAATCAATTTACAGATTGATACTACCTGCATTAAATTATGCTTTTGTATCAGTGACATGCACTTTATTACTAGGTTTCTGTCTGCGAGAGCCTTTACTCCTTAGACCGAAGTCATAAAAACTACATTTTTTATAAAGAGGAAAAAGCACAGCTGCATTTTGTACCAAACATGAGTTAAGCACTTGGCCACCGAGATTAGAGATCCATTAAAGTTCAAAAGAGACGTTAACAAATGAAACCAAAGGGAAGCGCCATGGCCTTTGACCTCTCGCTGCCTTCAGCGTGTTGATTGGTTGAGATTTAATTAGAGGTCAGTGTTAAACAGCAGCTTGTCTGTATATCAAGACCAAAGCAAGGGAAATAAAATCTATTGTACTTATTACGCATTATGATTTTACGTTTAGTTTTTATTACCATTTTAGGCGAATGAGTGGAATGTTTATTGGTAATCAGTTTACATATGTATTTTTATATGTTTATGAATGTTTTTTTCTTCAGTTTTTAGTGATTAGTTATGTTTTACTTGTGTTTTTTTCTGCCCCTAAATCTGTGGATCCGTGGTATGGCTGTGCCATAAGACAGCAGCTGTTTGGTGAATCTGATCGTGTCATTAGTCCTTTTTCTCTGCTTTACTTTGTGTTCATAGTGAATTTTGTTTTATCGTGTATTGTTATTGTCAGTAATGCTCACCTGGAGTCCACTCTGTCTGCTTTAACTATTAGTTTGCTTGTATCTGGTATGTGAGGTGTAAAGCCAAGACCTGCGTGCCATTTTACCCCACCCCCCTTTAAAGTTTTTGTTCCATTTCAAGAAAGGAAAGCTCTAATAACAGAACAAAGTGCCAATGCACATAACTCATTCTTCAGCAGGGAGATATTTCAGTAAGAGACTAATATTTGGGTCTGACCTTCCTCTCCACACAAAGGAGCAATATGTTCACAGACAAGCCGGTCTCATTTGAGAATTTCTGAAAGTAGCAAACGTAGAGGGGAAAGTTACTGAAAGGATTCAGATTTAAGACAAAAACAAACACAAATCTGGAGTTTTCATCTATCAGTCAGGAAATCTAAGGCTCCTAAAACCTTGTTGGGCAGAGTTTATTAAAGTTACAGGATTAAGCAAGAAACGGTGCTTATCATCAGATCTTTTAACTTCTCTGTGTTCCTGTAGATGTTCAGCCACATTAGTTGGAAAAGCAAACATCTTTAATTTGAAGTTTATTGGATTTTTCTTTTCTTTTAGAAGATCTTACTTTAGAAGCCAAACGATCTTCTGACATCCAGAGGATTTTCAAGTGCAATTAAGTGTTTTATTTTTTTGTTTGTGTTTCTAACTCCGGTACATTCAGCGTAAAAACAAAGAGGAATTTATGTGTTTAATCGAAAGCTAAAGTCTTAAAGGTAGATGGAGGCATGGATGTTTTATCTTTGCAAACTTAATTAGGACAGGATTTTACATCCATTAGTTTTTTTCATGAAGATTCCTTTCATGATGTTCACCTTGAATCACTTTTCAACCGTTTTATTTTCCTTTCTGATTTCAGCCATTTGCAAAGCTGAATATTATTCCGACACGGTTGCTGATGCAGACCAGGTAGCTTTTCTTTTTATTTTCATTTAAAGTCTTAAGATGTGATGAAGAGGGTTAAAGCTCATGTAGAGAGGGCTTCTTTACCCAGAGAGGAAACCCCCGGGGCCAGTATGCTCCCACTCATCATGGTTCTACATCCAGACTCCTGAGCACTGATTTCCCCAGTGCTGCGACTCGTGTTCCTGCCTAGCAGACATTTGTTTTCTTCCCTCGCATCGTTTAGATGCGTTTGATAGAGGTTATTGACTTATAAAAGTGGAGATCTATTAATGCGTGTTCTTGCAGCTTGAACACGTATCAGTGGACGGTTTACCACCAGCATTTCAGTCGTCTCACAATTATGTCTTTGATTTGTCGTATTGGTTCCTGTTCACAATAGGGATGCAAATGAAGGAATCTTTGTACTGCGGTCAAATGGTACATTTAAAGTAAATGTAAACCACTAGAGGAAGTATCTGTATGTCTTACCGTTTCTAATGCAGCCAGTATTTTGTGTGATAAAAGGTACATTTCTGCACATTGTTCTGGGTAAGAACTTGTTGAAACATTGCCACGAGGCCAAAGCTCTGTTCACTGTGCCATCTGTTGATGCTATTGTTATTCTGATTGTATGGTTGTGCAAATAGAAGCAGAACACTTTCATCTGGAGGAAACTGCCCAGCAGGAAATGATAAAAAAAACTGTTTGTTCAAACATTCAAATGATATTGAGGTGGAAATAAATGTATACAAAATCATAAGGTGTTCATTTTCTGCTCTGAAATGAATCTATTTTTTGTTTTTGTGAAAAGATAAAGCTAGCTCATTTAGAGGAATGCTGAGTTCCCGTAGGCTAGGTTGCCTTGAAGCAACTTAGTTCAGGCTGTTGCCTTTTACCACCATAGGTTTTACATGAAATGGTTATTCATTTGGTTATGTAGGTGCAGTGCTAGCCACTACTTCTGGATGAAAGATCATAAATATAACAAATGTATATTTTTTGATGATTTAAATGTTAAAACAGCATTTGCATAAATCACTTTGTCACTGGTTTGAATGTTCAGTCAGAATCATGAATCTGTTCCTCCAAACTGAGGCCATGCTTGAGCTGTCTACAGCAGGCCAGATGGTCGTCGATCAGAAGTTTTTCAAAACGTGCAAACAAACATGTAAATCTTCTTGAAGCTTCACATGCACACAGCGCATAAGCTGTGCACAAAAACAATAGCCCATCCTGCAAAAGGGCAAAGATACAAAGAAATGAAACTACCACCGGTTTATCAGCCTAAGGGAGGACATTTAGCTGCACAGTTATAGGCACACTTAACAGTTTTGCTTACTTTTAGCACCCCCTAGTGTTTGTTATTAATTATCTGTGGTCAAAGCAAAAGTGAAACTTATTTACTTGTTTTTTAACACCTTAATCTGAAAGTTGGAATACCTCCACAGCCTTCATTAGTGTCTACAGGAGCAGTGCATCACTAAATAAAACAAATCAGCTGTGTTCATGATCTAATACAGTGTTTCCCAACCCTGGTCCTCGAGGCACACTGACCTGCATGTTTTCCACATCTCTGCTTCAGCACACCTGATTTACGTTGCCTACTCAGGAGGACATCAAGTGCTGGAGATGCCTGTTAATCTCTCCATTTAAGTCAGGTGTGTGGCAGCAGGGAAACACTGATGTTTCAAAGGGCAACATGGAAAATTGTGTGTGTTGAGGACCAGGGTTGGGAAACGTGCTGGAACCAGACAATATCTCAGCTCCATTTTTTCTAATAGACCGGACCACCACTCTGAAGTTGCAAATGCGGTATTCTGGCCGAAGAGGGCAGTGGGAGATCTGAATGGCATTTCAATAAATCTGTAAAGGGTCATTTTAGCACATACTGGCTCAAAAAAACTTACATAGCGCCTTTGACAGTCAGGACTCCAAAGTGCTTTACACTACAGTGTGTCATTCATTCATCCACACGCTGATGGGCTACAGTGTAGCCACAGCTGCCCTGGGGCACTCTGACAGGGGTGGGGTTTCTGGGCACGGGTGCCACCGGCCCCTTTGACCACCACCAGCGGGCAGGGGGGTTGAGTGTCTTGCCCAAGGACACAACAGCGGGGTTTTCTGCCAGAAGCAAACCTGCAACCTTCTGATTAGTGGACAACCTGCTCTACCTCCTGTGCTGCTGCCCCTAAAATGAATGTGTTTCTGATTATATGCATTTATAGATGCAAGCTAATCTGCAAATATAGCATCTGCTTAATCAGAGAAAATTATTCAATTCAATTCAATTCAAAAATACTTTATTAATCCCAGAGGGATTCTATCAAAATAACACAGTTAATATTTTATCCTGTTCATCACACCTTTTTGAAAATAACTGGTTTCTATTATCTTATTAAATAAAATTATCTAGTAAGAAATTGTCTTTGTTGCACAAATTGTCTATTGTTTCTAGCTCTAAAAACATTAATCTTACTCCTTTTTATAAAGCTCTCCATCACTTGTCTTCATTTATTTATCTTTTCCATTTCCAGTGCAAAATAAAAGTTGTCATTGCTGCTGAACACCTCAAGGGGGCAGTGTTGCCTCTTAAATTTACACCCAGAATGGTTACTCGGCAACAGATTAGCCAATAAGGATTTAACAGATAACATTACACAAGTACTGGAAGGTTTTTATTAAGATGATTATTGTTATTTTAGCATGACGTGCTTTTAAGCATACACATTTGCATATTTTAAAAAGTATTTTTTTGAATTTATTGACTTTGAAATGCAACTTCTTAGAGAAGAAATGCAATAGCTAAAGGATGTGTAAATTTAAAAAAAATCTAAGACTAAATTATTTTAGATTACCGTTGTGGTTTACACGTTTGCTGCTCCAGCGGTCTCATCCAACAACACAACAAGCCTCCAACACAAACAGGTGGTGCTACTGAACTGTGACTCACTCAGCTTCTCCTCCCCTGTCATTAATTTAAGCAGGTGCTTGATGAAGAATATAAAAAAGAAAAGAGGCCTTTGTGTTTATATAACACTTCAGCGCTGGTTAGGTTATAAATATTGGGATGTAAAAGCAGAGGAGCTGGAGGTTAATGTGTGGGATGGATGCTAAGAAAACATTCATTTTGGCGTCTGTGCCGTTTCTTCATAACATAAACAGAAAAAAATATGTTGAAATCTCAGATTTGATAATAGAATAATTACTGATGTACGGGTTTTCTCTGGATAGGAAAAAATAATCCAATTAAGTAAGCCGTTCTGAAAGTAAAATACATTTATTTCTGCACAGAAAAGCTATTAAATGAGAACTAAATTCTGTCTTTTTGTCCTTTTTTAGAGCAATTACTCATACATGGAAATCAATCTCAGAGCCCAGCATGAATAATGGTTGTTTTATGTTCCTTTGTGAGAGACGGGGAGTGACAGACAGCTAAAGTGCAGAGAAAAGAGGTGTTGGGCTTTTTGACATTAAAGGACCAGCCTGCTTGGTCCAGAACCTCCCATATTGTTTTCACAGGCAGCTTGCCTCAGCGGGAGAGGTGTCAACTACCGGAGCCGTGACTAACCTCATCATACCTGGCTCCCATCCAGGGGACAGTGTGTTCACCGTCTGCCTCATTCGAGCTTTTACTTTTTCTCAAACACACAAAAAATATCTGTCTGTGTGACTTAAGTAATGCCTCTGCTAGTGTGTGACACATGACCAAACCCCAACATGTCATTCATCCAGAGCTTTCCTACAGTAAATACTTTGGCTTTTGGGAAATACACAGTGATGGAAAAAGTACTTGATTTTTTTCACAAGGAGTTACAACATTACATAAATAGAAGTGGAGGTATCCAAGATTTATTTTAATTAAGAACACATATTAGAGTACTTAAAGGAAAGAAGAAACTTGTCTTTTTATATAGTACCTCTCCAAAAAAAAAAAAAATATATATATATATATATATATACAATGCCAACATTTTTGGCTCTATACACGACCACAATAGATATCAAATGAAATGAACAAGATGTGCTTTAACTGCAGACTGTCAGCTTTTATTTCAGGGCATTTACATCCAAATCAGGTGAACGGTGTAGGAATTACAACAGTTTGCACATGTGCCTCCCACATGTTAAGGGACCAAAAGTAATGGGACAATTGGCTTCTCAGCTTATCCATGGCCAGGTGTGTGTTATTCCCTCATTATCCCAATTACAATGAGCAGATAAAAGGTCCAGAGTTCATTTCAAGTGTGATATTTGCATCTGGAATCTGTTGCTGTCAACTCTCAAGATGAGCTCCAAAGAGCTGTCACTATCAGTGAAGCAAGCCATCATTAGGCTGAAAAAACAAAAGAAACCTATCAGAGAGATAGCAAAAACATTAGGTGTGGCCAAAACAACAGTCTGGAACATTCTCAAAAGAAGGAACACACCGGTGAGCTCAGCAACACCAAAAGACCCGGAAGACCACGGAAAACAACTGTGGTGGATGACCGAAGAATCCTTTTCCCTGGTGAAGAAAACACCCTTCACAACAGTTGGCCAGATCAAGAACACTCTCCAGGAGGTAGGTGCATCTGTGTCAAAGTCAACAATCAAGAGAAGACTCCACCAGTGTGAATACAGAGGGTTCACCACAAGATGTAAACCATTGGTGAGCCCCAAAAACAGGAAGGCCAGATTAGAGTTTGTCAAACAACATCTAAAAAAGCCTTCACAGTTCTGGAACAACATCTATGGATGGATGAGACCAAGATCATCTTGTACCAGAGTGATGGGAAGAGAAGAGTATGGAGACGGAAAGGAACTGCTCATGATCCTAAGCATACCACCTCATCAGTGAAGCATGGTGCTGGAAGTGTCATGGCGTGGGCATGTATGGCTGCCAGTGGAACTGGTTCTCTTGTATTTATTGATGATGTGACTGCTGACAAAAGCAGCACGATGAATTCTGAAGTGTTTCGGACAATATTATCTGCTCATATTCAGCCAAATACCTCAGAACTCATTGGACGGCGCTTCACAGTGCAGATGGACAATGACCCAAAGCATACTGCAAAAGCAACCAAAGAGTTTATGAAGGGAAATAAGTGGACTGTTTTGCAATGGCCAAGTCAGTCACCTGACCTGAATCCAATTGAGCATGCATTTCACTTGCTGAAGACAGAACTGAAGGGAAAATGCCCCAGGAACAAGCAGGAACTGATGACTGTTGCAGTAGAGGCCTGGCAGAGCATCACCAGGGATGAAACCCAACGTCTGGTGATGTCTATGTGTTCCAGGCTTCAGACTGTAATTGACTGCAAAGAATTTGCAACCAAGTATTGAAAAGTATATGTTTGATTTATGGTTCTTATTCTGTCCCATTACTTTTGGTCCCTTAACATGTGGGAGGCACATATGCAAACTGTTGTAATTCCTACCTCGTTCACCTGCTTCGGATGTAAATGCCCTCAAATAAAAGCTGACAGTCTGCAGTTGAAGCACTTCTTGTTCTTTTCATTTGATATCCATTCTGGTGGTGTATAGAGCCAAAAATGTTAGCATTGTGTCTATGTCCCAATATTTATGGACCTGACTGTATATCTAAAATGATTAGAAAATGTAATGAAAAATTAAAAATTGTGATTAGAAAAATGTGATGAAAGGGGAAGAAATAAGAGGTGATCAGTGTAAGATTTTTACCGTTAAGCTCTGGAAACGTCCATCAAAACGTTGTTGAAATTAAATTAAATGATGTCCAGTTGTTGAAAAATATTTGCGACTTCGTAACAGAACCATAAAAATCAGGTCTAACTGAATGAGTCTAAGTCTCTGGACGATGCCATATTAGATGCCATGTTTCCTTCTACGGGAGCCTGTAAAAACAAAATGCATTTACTGATTTGAAACAAACAGTTACAAAACTTTCACCTTTCATAAACATTGTTGTCTTACACATTTTCTCTCTTCATTCGTTGCCAGTGATGAAAGGGAGGCTGATGTGCTTTCATTTTGCTGGAAGTTAGGCAGCAATATTTGACCCTAATGTCCATTCATTGGTAAGATCTACTAAGCACAAAATTACTGGTTGCTTGCGTATTTTTGGTATGTACTGCCCCCATCACCAGGGAAAATACACATTGTCACTTTAAAAGTAAAAGTTTTCAGCTAACATATAAATAGGTGACGTATGTAGATGACACTGAAGTGTATTAAAGCACTATTACCTTTGGAACTGCATTCCGGTGCAGATTGTGTGCTGCCAGTAAAGTACTTTTACTTATAAAACTTTTTAGAATATGTAGTTGGAGAACAAAGTTGTTTTAAAAATGTAGTGGAGTAAAAGTAAAAATGTAGGCCTCAAGAAAAGTATTTAAGTACAGTAAGTACTTGTACTTTGTTACATTCCATCCCTGGAAACGCACCTTGGTGCCAAAACCTGAGATTAACAATTGGTCAGGTTTATTGTAAAAACAGGGCACGTTGCTTTTTAATCTACATTTTTAATCACGTTATTAACATTATATAACAAAATATTTGATCTACTTAAAAACAACCAAAAATCCTCAGGTTTGTGGTCATTGATGGATTTAAACTGAAAAAACAGACTAGCATTAATCTCTAAAATGTATCAACTCAATACCAAAGAGATGGGGAGATGATCTCATTTTGGAGGCTGTTTGAGGAGTTTAGAAACGTTATTGCTTAAACGTTATTTCTTTAAGACTTTAACTAAACATTTTGTGTAATTTATGAGCTGGTTATCTTCTGGCTTGAGCTACATTTTTATTTCTTCATCTAATTCTCTCTCCCAGAGCAAATAATCTTATTTGTTTAAATGTCAAACCGTTCCTTTCGGCTTTTCTTGCATCGCAAACAGTTAATTTTCATAATAACCTTTCCATTCCTGCTTTTAATTCATCTCTCCTTATTAAAACAAGTGCATCTCTCTGGCTCTGAGCGTGCATTGTGCAGCTGGATGTTATTTGCATGTCATAGAAGTGCTGATAAACGAGAAAATCACAGAAACGTTCCTCTCCATTATCAATCGAGCTGTAGCTCAGCTCAGATCCCCCTGATTCAAATCAATAACATTCTTCATTTAATGCCCTTAAATACCAGGCAAATGTGTTAGGTATGGAGTCACACACACACACCCTTTCATTGGGCCCTAGCATTGTCCTCTCCCAGTGAAAAGTGCTGCAGCCTGTGCTCCGTACAAAGTCTCATTTCTCTGTTCTGTGTGGATTGATGAGTAGTGGCAGCGTGCTGTGTGCTGGTAAGACACAAAGGAACATGCATAAATGTTAAGTCACTCTCCTGCCCTCAGCCTGTGAACGTTATTCACCTGAAACCTTACAACACAACTGTTCATGCCATTATTCCATCTGTCGGTGCTCACATGCACTCCAAGCACAGCTGAGTGAACAAATGCGAGCGGACAGCCAAATCAGAGCACTCTGTGACGTCCCCTCACACACAAAAGACGTGTTTACCAACACAACTGTGGGAAAATGAGAGAATAAATTAGACATTTTGAGATGCCACGGATTAAGAATGCAGATTGGTGAGAATATAGAGGAGTGGATGTGCTTTACATAGTGTCGTTCTCCCTCTTCATCCTCCTGCAGCCCTGCTGGAAACACTGATGTTAACACCGAATGACTCTCACTGGAGGGGGTGGTGGAAAGAGGGCTGACAGAGAGGATGGATGAAGGTATGATGAGAAGGAATCCTCTAGAACTGGCCAGTCTCATCCTCCACGTCCTCCTGCTCAGAAAAGAGCTGCATGATGGGGGAGGGAAAGGGAGATATATGAGATATCAGATTTAATGAGAGGAGAAATTTAAAAGTACTCTGGCTTCCTCGTGGTATAGCTATCTGAGTCTGCTCAAACAAAGATGGCTGCATGCTAGATGCTGACCTTTTGCTTTTAATTAGTTTGATTTTTCCAGCCAGGAAACTTGAGCCAGATGCAGCAGTGAAATCTGAGGTTGGAATATGTTCAGGCTGTGTCTGAATGCCACGGTGATTAGAAGCTTACTGGGAGATTAATCCTCCTGCTCGGCACAAACTCATTTTTTAATCCTTGCAGCTCTGTGGAAAATGCTCACCAGCTACTGTAGACAATAAATAAAAAAACACACTTTTGGTTTGTAGATCTTTGGTTTCATCTTTTCTTTGTGACCCATTTGAGTTCATGTGGATTTTCATCAGTTCTTTAGGTGCAGACTCTCATATCTCCACCTTAGTCACAAAGAGATGCCAAAACAAATAGAACGTGACACTGAAGCTCAAATGGAGACAAAACTGCTTAAGGGAATTTTTAATGAATCCAGTAGCTGTGATCTACACGAACTTTTTCACTGTAAAAGAGTCTGGAGACTTCTTTAACTCCAATGTGAAAGGACACTTGGCCTATACTGCCTAGGTGGCCTTTTTCTGGGTGCTGCTGATAAAGAAGGGTGTTGAAGTTCAGTTGATGCAAACACACCCGCGCGTGCGTGCGTGTGTGTGTGTGTGCGTGCGTGCGTGTGTGTGTGTTTAAGCTCATTAATCAGCCTTTGTGGTGAGCGTGGTCGTTTATTACAGTCCATAGTGGTCCCCCAGTTCATTATGGCTCTGTCCACTTGCACCTGCGCTCCTGCGAGAAAGTTACCAAATAAGGATTTGTGATAGCCTCCCTGGATGACGTTGGACGTCAAATGGAAAATAACGGGTCCTGTGTGTGTGTGTGTGTGTGTGTGTGTGTGTGTGTGTGTGTGTGTGTGTGTGTGTGTGTGTGTGTGTGTGTGTGTGTGTGTGTGTGTGTGTGTGTGTTCATGCACGGCTCAGCTGGAGGGGAACCACCGTTTTAATCTGGTTGCATAAGAATCTGCTGGGTTTGCAGCCCTGCTGCCTCTGCTGCGGTAATCCACTCCACTATTCATGCTCGGCTGTCCCAGTGTGGCGCAGGACGCAGGACTCGAGTCGTGCGCGCACACTTGTGGCTCCCGCACCGTAAAAAGGGGTTTAAGCGATCCGCTGCTCGTGAAAAAGTGATCAGGTTGGAGGTGACCATCTCTGCAGCAGAGGCTGCAGCTGGCGGCTCGCGCTGTTCGAGCCCGTGACGATTTCGCTGACGCGCGACTCGCCGCACCTCCCAGGAGGAGGCAGAGAAGATAGCTGCGCGCCAGACTGGACACCGGACTCTTTTCTTTTCTCCTCCTCTTTTGAGCGGAGCGGACGTGCCTGCAGTTTCCCCCCCAAAACAAGCCGAGAACGACACCATCCGGTATCATCGTCCACACTCCTGAGCAGGGATGGAGGTTCCAGGTTTGGCGCACAACATCACCAGTCCGCTGAGTCCGTGCGAGGGGATGATCAAGGACCTGAGCCTGGACGCCATACAGTTATGTGAACGAGATGGTGAGTCGTCTGACACGTTTCTGTCCAACACACACATCGTGGGCCCGGTTCGACCCAAAACCAACCCGAACCTTGGTTGTGCGTTTTAGATGAACGAGGGCCCCGGTGACAACGCAGGTTCCTTAAATAGATGAAGAGGAATTATGAGGCATATTGTTAGCAACGTTATTTTAATGAAAGATAAGTTTTGTCACAAAAGATATTAGAATTTTGCAAATCCGAGCTGAAGAGAGAGGAACGTTTTTGTTTCAGCACCACAGGCGTGGACAGAGGACGGCAGCACCCCGCCTTCAGCTGAGCAACGATCCTTTTCTCTGCTCTAGTGTGATTAAATTCTCCTAAAAAGAGTCTTGCTGCACGTTTTATTTCATCTTTTAAATTCCTGCTATTTAGGATTTGGCTGTGTCCTCCAACTGCGTCCCCGCTGCGCTGACTTCCCACTGAACTCAAAAGTTATCCATTTACAACGAGATGTTTAATTAAACGCCTGAACTGATCAGATTTTCTTAAGCGTGCATAAGCCAGGAGGATAATAAATAAGAGATTGGTTGCCCACACGGAACTTGGGGAATTTACGGTGAGGATAAAAAAGCAAGTCATCATCAGGAGAGTGAAAAGCTAAAACATGGCTGCACACATGAGTGTGCAAAGGCAATGCACCCCACAGCACACGGAGCAATTACACACTTCTGATTGAACATCTGAGGCACAGAAATGCCTTTGAAATTGCATAATGTTTAAATTATTCCACATTTAAATGGTCTAATTTCTCACAAAGGAATAGTTTTTTTATTCTCTTCGTTAATCACAAAGCAGCCATTGTGCTATGTTCTTATATTTTAGATCAGCTGCAGAGTTTAGATAAAAAAAACTCATTTCAGTAATGCTGTCAAAGGGACATCCCACCAGCTTATGCTGCAGGCATTTGCACAGAAATCCTGTTTTTCAGCAGTAATCCACGTGTGAATAGTAGCTCTGTGTCCTTGAGACTGCACATACTGTGTTGCTCCATAAACAACGTCCACCTTCTGTGAATTCTGCAGAACTGCCTTTGATTCTTGTTTATGGTCAAGTTTTGCAAATGGAAACCCTTCCACTTTATCTCAAATAACCTTTTTATCTTTTTGTACATGAACGCAGTTTGAAAAAGCTCCAAATGTCTATTGAAAAAGATTCAAATTTTCAGTTTTGAGTAATCACTTTCTTTATTTGTGCTTAAAGCTGACTAATGTCCCTGACCCTGCCACACCTGCGTAAAAGTCACCCATGCCTCTCCTTCCTGGAAACGAAGTGTCATCCCATCAGGTCGATGCAGCAGCCCGCTTTCATTTCAGTTTTATGTAGCTTTCTAAATTTACCCACAATTCCATTAATATTTGATGCCCTGCATGAAAGGCCTGTATGCTGATCCAGCAAATGAATGCAGCTTCAGTTCAAACTCCAACACACTGGAGCCTGTTTGAGCTTTTCAATGCACAGTGGCAAACAAGTCGTTTCTGTGTTTGAGATGGGGTTAATGGTTCAGACTGTTCAGGAGGACTGTAACGTGTGTGTGTGTGTGTGTGTGTGTGTGTGTGTGTGTGTGTGTGTGTGTGTGTGTGTGTGTGTGTGTGTGTTTAAAAGTTAAAAGCTGCAATGGCAAATTTGGAAGACATTTTTCATGCATCTTAATAACATTCTAACATAGCTATAACTATATTATGGAGATTTAAAAACTTCGCACAGCGGTTGTCTCACATTTGTCTTTAAACTTCCATCATAACACGTTTCAGACTGAAAGCAACCATTGGACCATTTAGTCGTTGGTCTCGCTCAACCGCCGCACTTCCCTGGGTCCTCCACTCATTACACACACGTGTATTTAGGACCAGAACACCTCTGGTGTAAGAGGTTCTCTGCTCAATAATATCAGAAAAGCAGAAACAGCCAGCTGCTACCACTTCAACTTTAGGACAAACAGAGTCCCAAAAAGAAAAACACCCTTTGAAGTCACGGACAACAAAAGACGTTTGGACCTAAAAACAAGGAAACCATAACTGGTGTTAAGCGCTCTCTCGTATCCTCCTCAATGCGGGTTTCTGGTTCCGGACGTGGATCCAGGGAAGATACCCGAGGGGATGGGTGAGTGTTCTGTGATCATGTAAAACGTAGCTTGTTTTGCAGATTTGCTACAAAAGCTTTAATCTGAGACAGTAATCGTTTATGAAGCTGCAGGACCTGCAGCAGTTTATGAGGTAGAGCGGGTTGTCCAGTAATTGGAAGGTTGTAGGTTCAATCCCAGCTTCTGCCAGAGAATGCTGCTGTTGTGTCCTTGAGCAAAACCATGAACCCTTCTTGCCTGCTGGTGGTAGTTAGAAGGGCCGGTGGCGCCAGTGTTTGGCAGTCTCGCTTCCGTTTGTGCACCCCAGGGCAGTTGTGGCTACATCATGGGTCATCATCACTAGTGTGTGTGTGTGTGTGTGTGTGTGTGTGTGTGTGTGTGTGTGTGTGTGTGTGTGTGTGTGTGTGTGTGTGTGTGTGTGTGTGTGTGTGTGAGTGGATGACTAATTGTGTTGTGATGCACTTTGAGGGATTATAGAACCCTAAGAAGGTGTTATACAAATACAGGCCGTTTACCATAAACCTTCAATGACTTGATCCAAACCGACATAGCACAAACTAAAATGTCTCAAAACCCTTGTAAAAATGCTGTTTAAAATATATTACCCCATTATTCCTGGAAGTTCACTCCTCCTTTCAGCTTCTTCCAGTGATTTTTTCACTCTTCTTCAAACTATGTCATCAGAACCGAGCACTTCGATAGCACTTCTTCCACCCGGATCAATGTCTCATTTCATCATTTAAAATGAAATCAAAGTGCAATAGGATTTCTGTTTGCCCGGGTTCTACCTCCACAGCCAGTTTGATGAGGTTGATTTTCTTCGTCATTTACCTCTGCGTCTGTTTCAGCCACAGCAACGACAGCAAATTTAGCCTTTCAACCCATCCGGTTCTCCAAACCTGTCCACTTCAGAGGTCATTGAACAGAAAGATGATTCTTTTGGTCAGGCAACAGCAGGCCTGCCCAATGTCAGATACAAACCATCTGAGCAGGATGATCAGCTCCTATGGCGGTGCTGGTAATATGCAGCCTCTTACTGCCTGACGAACACATCCCGTGTCACTTAACCAGAGGCTAAAATATTTCTAATAGAATTCAGAACATTTTTTTCTCAGCAGCGGTGCTGTTTGTCTCAGCAACTCAAGACTTGAACCAAAAAAGCACAAAAGGCTGTTTATGTGTTATAATTTAATGCAAATGAGAAGCTCTGCACCATGCATCTGCTGCATGTCTTGCTGGTATGGGCGAAACAGCAGAAAACATGTCTTTGAGAATACATCTGGCAAAAAAAATATTTTTAGCAACAAGTCGTAAACCAGTGCAAGAACAGGGAGCCAAAGGTGTTACGCTAGGACATCAGTTAATGTCTGGATGAGGATTTAGCCCTCCTATGAGGAATTGTAAAAGGGTTACTTTCTTCCTCACCACACGACCTTCATCCGGCTTGGCTCTCCCGCCTCCATCTTTCATCCTGTGCTCACGGTCCCCATGGGGTTGAAGCAGAGCTTAGCATTTCTCACAACAACTATGGCTCACTGCTACACATCATATCAAAATTCAGGTTTTTTAATCCATAAATGTGTTAATTAGTTGACATCCTGACCTAAATTATGTCTCACCTTTAAATTATGTATAAGAGAAATTGTAGCCTTGAAACATTGTTTTCCTTTAAAAGCACTGCTTTCAGTTTGAGTTTCCCTAATAATTTTTCGCAGATATTATCTAAATGCATTAGGCAAGGCCAACTGTAGTGGTGTTAAGCCTCCATTTACAAGTTAATTAGGCTAGTGTTAGCATAAACAGGAGATGAATCAGCAGGGCAGCGTTGCGAGATGCTGGGAGGGAGCGCACCTTTTCGGCCAAAGTTTTCTGGAAACATTAATGTTGATGTAAACATTAGAGAGGACAAGGAACTCATTCTGCTTATGGCAGTTAAAGGTCTTTCCTCTTTTCTGTGTAGCAATTAATACATATTAATTATGACCAATAAGATGTGATGATTTCATATAAATATGAAATATCAATCTGATCTTTGAATGTTTAATCAGAACATTCTGGGGTTCTTTGCTTGTTCAGGGACCATAAACACACTTCGTATTAATTCAGACAGAGTCAGTATACAGTTTATAAAATGAATTTAATTATTTTTCCTAAACTAATGATACATGACAAGATATGAATAATGAGATGTGGTGTGGTGGATATTAGGTGTTGTGAGGGAAGCTAGATGTTGTAGCAACTGTTGTTTGTATCTGAGAGAAATTGTGAAATCTGGGTGTAAAATAATTTGTTTGTTATAAACTAGAGAGATAGTTATTGATAAAAACCTCATCAGACACCCGTATGCAGGCTTACGATACCATTGTATGAGTTGCTCCCGGCGGTCCGGAGGGTTGCGGTCAGAGTGGTGAGGTCACCGGACGTCGAAACCACAATACTCAGAGATTAGTAGCTTCTTCTGAGTTCAGCTTCCCCGGCCATGAGATGCAACCCAGGCTCTGCAGATTAGGTGTCTCAGGTGTGAAGTAGCTCTGAAAAGAGCAGTTGTGTCTGTAATCGCTTACAGCGTCGCAGAAAGGATTTGACTTAAGGTCAAAGGAGTTTGTTTCAAAAAAGGCTTTTTTCCCAATTTGGCCGAATCGGGGGTCAGCTGGAATCTGAATTACTCGGGAAGTAATTATTGTTTTATTAAACTACTTTGTTACGATTTCTGGCCAAGTTTGGCAAACCAGAATTAGACACATTTCTGAGTATTTACCAGTATCCCTCAGAAATACACACCTTCCTTCATATTAACCTTAATATGTATCTTATTGTAATGTGTATGAGTGTAAACAATGACTAACTTGTTAAGTCAAACACATACTGGTTTGTGATATAAAAGGATCATTGTAGGAAATATTCATTTCAAATTCGTTGATTTAAGCACAGGTTATTCAAACATTTCATTGAAACATCTTGTTCATTCATCACTTATGATTATTTAACTTATAACTGTAAAATCATGGAGTCTTCACTTATTCAGAGTGAAAAATGTTGACGTCTGGCTTTCACAGAGAGTGCAAGAACCTTGGGAGAGAATGTTTGTCTGGATGTTTTGTCTTCTGTGTGTGAACACGCGCTGAGCAGAACCTTCTGGATTTAGAAGGCCAAACAGAAAGTGGATTTATTTCTGTAGATGAAAGGTTATTATGTTGATCTAATATATGGGTGAAAATGGATCCTTTTGGTACGTTACATTTGTTTGCATTCATGTCCTGCAAGTTCCCTTCAGGCAGACAGCACAGTAGGTGAAAACAAATCCCTCACATTCAGGAAATTGTATCACACAGCATTTTTGCACAAGGAGGAAATCTTTACCCCAGTCCTTGGCAGCCCTCCTGGGGGCATGTTTCATTGGATTCTGAAGTAGATGTCAGAGAATGACAAAAAGTTTTTTTCTTTTTTCTGTTTTTGGTAAAGGTCAGCAACTCCCGGCCTCAGATGGGACTCTACAGAGCTTACATCACTGTCTGCTCTGCGCTGACTTGATGGAACATTTTCTCTCCAAGCTTCACTCAGCTGTGTCTGGTGTTGACCCTCCCAGCCTGAGCCAAATTAATCAGCTCAGTGGGGCTTGAGGTTAATGAGATGGGCATTTTAAATGCAGACTACCAGCCGAATGGGCTGTTTTCACAAATCAGCACCGGACAGCCAGAAATAACAAAAGTATGCTCAGACTGGAACCTGTTTGTGGAATTTTATACTCAGGAGTCGCTTTTATTCTTGGATGTTTTAATCATGATGAACAGATCTTTTCCTTTAGATCATTTTAAGTCACTGGCTGATTATAATCACGGTAAACAGGCTATTCTAGAACTAGGATGCAGATTTTAGGAATTATAGATTGTGTCGTGTTTTGTAACATGTAACTTTTTTGTTTTGTAACATTATCACTCAAATTTGTGTTTTAATTTACTCTGAGGTGTGTGTGTGTGTGTGTGTGTGTGTGTGTGTGTGTGTGTGTGTGTGTGTGTGTGTGTGTGTGTGTGTGTGTGTTTCAGGCTTCATAATAAAAGTCAACTGTTAAAAATAAAATATTACAAGTCGCAAAACAAAAGTTAAATGTTACATAATACGTCAAATTTGATGTGAGACTGATCTTTTTGTAACATGTCGTCTGAGATGAGTGTGTTTCAAATTTCAAAACTAAAGTTATGTGTTAGAAAACAAAAGTTACCTGGGTAACACCTTACCTGCTCTGATTAGGGACACTAGTCTTATTCAGGGACTAATGGGTAGTTATTTAAAGAGCAAGTCAACCCCTACCAGAGTCTAACTCCACTTCCACTTCATGTTTGAAAAATGCAACAAATGCTGTTGCCTGGCAGACCGAGAGGGCGGGGCTGCTAACAAATACACACACACACAGGCTCACGACATCATTGTGACATCATAATGTACCAGTTTACATCATAGCATACCTCTTAGCCAATAGCGGTGGCAGATTTAAATTAGAATACAGTGCATAGTTTTTACCTGACAATGGCACAACACTGCCAGTTTTAGGCAGAATATTTAAATTTTAACTAAGATGCACCGAAGTGCCAAATTATTGACGACACGTGTCTGCAGCACGTTTATACACTCGTTTATTTAGTTTATCAGCAAAAAAAGTTTATTTGGGGGTGACTTGCTCTTTAAGGACCAGAAGAGAAACTAATCGTCACTTACTCAGTAATGAATCATTACTTACTACATTTGTGTCCCGTAAAGTGAAGTCTTCTCCCAAGTACCTACTGAGGAATGAATCATTACTTACTTGGTTCTTAACCATAACCTACTACATTAAATAGGTAGATTAAAAAAAAGCTACTAAATGAAAGCTACATGTTACAAAACAAAATTTACATGTTCCGTAAACAGGCAAGATAGATGTGAAACAAATATTTTTGATATGCGAATGTTTCAAACTTCAAAATTAAAGTTATTTGTTAGAAAGTAAAAGTTACGTGTTACAAAACAAAAGTTCTGTGTTACAAACAAGCTTTACAAAAGTTATCTGTTACAAAATAAACGTGTTACAAAACAAAAGTTACGTGTTACAAAACAAGCTTTACAAAAGTTATCTGCTACAAAATGAACGTGTTACAAAAAAAGTAAAATGTTTCACAACAAATGTTATCTGTTACAAAATGGAAGTGACGCATTATAAAAACGGGCAAATTAAATGTGGCACAAACTCTTTTGAACCAAGTATTCTGAAAGTTGTGTGTTTCAAGTTTACAAACCAAGGTTACTTGTGCAGCTTGTACAGTTACATGTTACAAAACATGTTACAAGTTCAAAAGTCTGGTTCTTCATTAAAAAAAAAGAAGAAGCCTAATCGAGATCTGACTGCTTTTGTTTATTGTTCTTATGCAATATGTGCCAAAAGTCATGATGGGGTTGACTGATTTCTTTTTTAAATTCATTTACAAAGCTTAATTTTGGGAGAATTACTCAGAGGTGACCCAATAATGACCACACTTTTATCCCTGTAGTTGAACAGAGGAGGGTTTTTTTTTTTACTTTTCTATTCTCCACTGCTTCTGCTCTTGCTAATCCTCTAAAGAGCTCAGTCAAATTGAACATCACCCCCAAACATAGCTTTCTCAAATTTTACTCACTCGTGTGTTTAGACCCCAGACCGTGCACAGAAAACACATTGTTGCCATGCCAAGTGGGTGCCTCTTTGTGCACGTGACGCAAAGTCCACATTCATTCTGATGTGACAAAGCTCTCATTCAAGCTAAGTTTCCTCATTTTTCATTGGCCCCTGTGTAAACTTTGGTTTGTAAGCATTTAGGGTTTTGTGCAGTGTTGCTGCTATAAAAGGGTTAGACTTGTTCAAGATTGTTTGATAGGAGCCAATGGTCTTTTTGTCTTTTGGTCGAGGTTGTTGCAGGCTCATGTACCGGCGCAAGCTTCTGCACAACAGAGAAACGTATTAGAAATACTTATTGCCATTTATTCTTAGTGAAGCACATGGCTGTATGAATGTGGAGGAACTGTGTTTCCATGGCAACCTATACAGTGATCAGGTTTGCAGCCATACTACTGTAGTTGCTGCATGTGGAATAATTCCTGCAGAGATGGAAGGTTTTAATCACGTACAAGAGAAAATTTATAGCAGTGGAACAAAGACTTAAGAGCCACAACTGTAGAAAATATTTTGTTTGAAAATGACAGCAATGTCTTTTTTTCCTCACTTACACAGCAAATAAATCCCAGGACGGCAGCCTTGCTGACATGGAGGAGCTCCCTGTTCCACAGAATATCAAGATCAGCAACATCACCTGCGACTCCTTCAAGATCTGCTGGGATATGGAAGCGCGCAGCAAGGAGCGCATCACACACTACTTTATTGACCTGAACAAGAAGGAAAACAAAAACTCCAATAAATTCAAACACAAGGTAATAGAATGACAAACCTCAGTGGAAGAGGGATGACTCAACAAAGAGTCTCGTTGTTTACTCGTTTTACGTATACTTTTTCAATCAGCAGAGAATTAACAGCCTTCTGCCGAGCCCGATGAGCGTGTGCTGGACAGGTGATTCAACCACTGAAGCTAGTGTGTTGGACCAGAGAAACCACATGCTGGATTCTGGCCCTTGAGGCCCGGAATAGAACAGTCCTGCTCTTTACCAATACACTTTAGCAAATGAAATATTCTGAAACAGAAATAATGTGATTCGGAAAAGGGTAGAATACCTTCTCGGGGTCAGGGATGAAGTCCTGCCCCAAGTGGAGGAGTTTAAGTATCTCGGGGTCTTGTTCATGAGTGAGGGAAAACTGGAGTGCGAGATCGACAGGCGGATTGGTGCTGCATCTGCAGTGATGCGGATGTTGTACCGATCTGTTGTGGTAAAAAGGAGAGCTGAGCCAGAAGTCGATCTGCGTTTCTTCCATCACCTATGGTCACGTGCTTTGGGTAGTGACCGAAAGAACGAGATTGTGGATACAAGCGGCCAAAATGAGATTTTCCCCTGGGTGGCTGGGCTCTCCCTTAGAGATGAGGTGAGAAGCTTTATCTTTTGTGAGGGGCTCAGAGTAGATCTGCTGCTTCTCCACATCGAGAGGAGCCAGTTGAGATGGCTCGGGTATCTGATTAGGATGCCTCCCTGGTGAGGTTTTTCGGGCACGTCCAACTGAGAGGAGGCCTAAAGGGAGACCCAAGACACTTTGGAGGGACTATGTCTCTCACCTGGCCAGGGAACGCCTTAGGATTCCCCCAAAAAGAGCTGGCCTAGGTGGCTAGAACTCCCTTCCCCAGCCACTTCCCTCTCCCCGCCCTGGAAAACCTCACCAACCGTTATTCTTTAGCTTTGCATAAATTGTTGTTCAACAGTCTGATTTAGTATTACTGCTACTTGTTCACAAGCTCAAACACATTTATTTATGTTTTATCTGAAGATGGTCCTTTCAGCCACTCATTTGAAGGTGTTTTTATTTGAAGACTCTTCAGAAACCATCCCTCTCAGCTCTAACTTTAGAGTAATTAACCTAATCTCAGACTTGTTTCATCAGCCTTTGTTCTGTTTTCTACTTCCTGGGTGCAGCTTAGCTGAACCCCTTATCTTTCTGTTTTGTTGTAGCAGGCTGACTCTGTTGCTAGGCAGGGGATGTCGGGCCAATCAATGAGCTGCTGAAGCCTACTAGTACTTGTGTGCTGCAGAGAGATTGTTGTGTGACATTAAAAGGAAGCCTGTGGTCAGCTGTGAACTGTGTGTGTGATTACAGGACAGCAGATCGCTCCATGACGCTCATCTCTTTCCATCCTTGCTCTTTGTTCATTTAGGATGTTCCAACCAAGCTTGTGGCCAAGGCTGTGCCCCTGCCCATGACGGTCCGGGGCCACTGGTTCCTGAGCCCCCGCACAGAGTACACAGTGGCCGTCCAAACGGCGTCAAAACAGGCTGATGGGGACTACGCCGTCTCTGAGTGGAGCGAGATCATAGAGTTCTGCACTGCTGGTACAAAACAGTCCTGTGAAATTAGTTTTTTATTTTAATTATCCTCATTGTTAGTGGGGAACTGGATCACCGGATAAATAAAACTCGTAATAATAATAGTAATAATAATAATAATAATAATAATAATAATAATACAGAGAGAATTATACAAGAAGAAATGGAGGGGAGCTTCGCTGTACTGATTATGAAGTCAAGAGGTTGAGCCCCACACACATACACACACATGGGGGGGGGGGTCGACGGTGGAGGTTATCAAAACGGGTGGAGAAAGTCGTTCCTGAGGCCTACTGGTCTAAGATAAGAGCTGTTATCTTTGTCCCCAATTCTGAAAGAAATTGCATGTTAACTGTTATTTTAGAGCTCAATGTTATATCAGAATATGAAAAGTGGTTCTTAACAATTAAAGGTGCAATAAGTAAGCAATAAGTAAGAATTCTACAGTGAAATAATCATAATAATCATCAATCGTTTTGGAAGGAAGGTTACTTTGAAACCGATTTTTATTCTCAGTCGGCTGTTTTATTTTTTCTCCTTTCAAAAAACCTGAAGAGAGACGTAGTCATTGTTTACTATCTGTCCCACCTCCATACTTCCTGGTTACAGGGCCAGTCATATATGAGCCCACCAGCCAGTAAAACGCAGCAGTGTTTTGTAAAGTACCAGGAGTGACCCAGAAGTTACTTGTTGTACCCCTGAGAAGCTGCAGTATTTTTTGCTTTACTCAAATTTTGGGTAAAGAAGCCTGTAGGATGATGCTAAGCTAACAATGCTAATGGTGAATTAGAAAAAAATTGTCTACTCTAAAAATATCTTAGACTACTTTTTCATTTACCAACAACTCGATATTACGGTGAAATGTTTTTATTTACTTCTCAATTGTGTATGACTTGTCTTCACTCGTAATATAGACTCTTCTGGCATTCATCCATAACTGGCAACAGCTGCTCTGAGTGGACTCGTTTGTTTTCATATATGGACTGCAGCACCCAAATTTGACCACAGGAGGCCATTCTTAGTTCATACGCCTTCAAAAGTCATGTTGATGTGCTTTATGTTTAGCACTAATATTTGCAATGATAGCCAAGCTGAACTTCGTTTACTTCACTCTGGAGGTGGAGTCAGAGCAGCGAGGATGGATGTGATCTTCAACAAAACTCACAGGAGCAGAACGTTTGATGAAGGAGATGTTATGGATGATGCTGATGTAAAGTAGGAGATTCTCAGCTTAGAAAAAAACATTTGTTGGCAACCCCCCCCCCCCCCCCCCCTATTTAAATTGTGATAACCTTTTTCAGCCAAGCTCACTTGTCTTAATGCATGTGGGATGAGGGAATGCTTTTATAGGATTCTGGCTTTAATCCAGACTCATTTGGCAGCAATGTGATGGTGGGTGAAAGTAGAATTATATCACAGGATGAAATTAAAAGTTTGTAGTCTGACTGCTGAGTTACAAAAGAGCCAATTAAGAGGGGATTCTAGGATCCTAAGAGAACAGTTCATCCTGCTATTTTGTTTTTGAAGAACACATGAACGCAGTTGTTATAACATGTTGAATCTGTTTCCAGATTACTCGTTGGTGCATCTTAACCAGCTCCTGGAAAAGGCAGAGGTCATTGCTGGGCGGATGCTTCGTTTTTCCGTCTTCTACAGAAACCAGAATAAAGAATACTTTGATCATGCCAGGTAGGCATTAAAGAGATACTTTGCAACATTTTCATATTTGTAAATCATTTTCTTGAGCCAGTATGTGCTAAAGTGACCCTTTACAGGGTTAATAAGAGGCCACCCAGCCCCTATCGCCCCCTGTGGCCAGAATATCTCACTTGCAACTTCAGACTGGCGGGTCGCTCTGATGGGACTGGCAGTCTGCTTCCAGCAAGTTTCCTGGATGTTTTAGATCATGAACACAGCTGATTTATTTAATTTAGTGATGAATCAATCCTGTAGACAATAAGGAAGGCTGGGAGACGTTTTAGCTGTTAGATTAAGGGGTTAAAAAGACAAACGCACAGCAAGGAGATAGATTTTGGTTTCAGTTCTACAAACTTATGCTAGGGTGTGCTAAAAGCAAGCCAAACCTGCCTAGTTCCCCTTTAATAATGTTCACCTAAATTCACAGAAATACATTTTGATTTCCTGTTTGGTGCAGCTGGTTTAAACTGCTCCAGGGTAGTATATATAAATCAGCATTCATGTATTAAATTCAGATTTCTCTGGGTTTGTTTATTTCCCTTCTCTCTCTCTCTCTGTCGGGATGTTTAAGCTTCATTTCTCCAAAGAAGAGTTTGTTTTATCCAGCTTCTTTTTAATATATCACTTAATTTTACTTTTTTGTAGCCTTTTCTTGAAATATTCTACTTATAAACTTAGTTATTGATGCTCCTTCTGGCTCTTGGAGAGTACAGACACTTTTTTCTCCTCTCCCTCCCTCTTTTATCCCAAGGCTCTTTGTCCTGTCTTGTGCACGGAGCTTTCTGCATTTTTTTCTGGAAACTGGAAATTATTAAAATGGATCTGGTCAGTTGGTCTCTCAATGCGATTTACAAAATGTTTTCAATGATGAGAACTGGAGAAGGGGCTCCTGGATGCCCCTCTGGGACAGAGCCAGCTGGGTATATCATGGACACATGGAAACAGTGGAACCTGATATGCCTCTCTCAACTGTCTGTAGAGGATTCTGAAGATGTTTGGATATTCGTCGTTTTGGTGTTGGGATTCCTGCTGTTTGGCCTGAGCGGTTACCTGGTTTACCGGAAAATTAACAAGCTTTCGAGGAATATTGGCTCAATCCCGGAGCTCAGTGATGGATTCCACCGCGCTGTGAATGCACAAACTCATATAATTGTCGAGATGAGTCGTAAACTTGGAACTTTGGCTGAGATTCAGGCTCTGGCACAGAAGGTGGATTCCATCAAGGACAGAGTTGTGGACGGATCAGCACGGATTGGGATGGATTAATTATGCCATTATTGGATCTAGAGGGGTTGATGACCAACAGAACTCTAAGGCAGAGAGGAAATTATCTCTGTCTGTCCCCAAAACAATCCTTATCTGAATCTGGTGCCCTTGAGCCTGTGAGGCTGAAGTAAAAACTCTCCCCTCAGAAGAAATGTGGAATGCGGCTGTTGCTATGGTAACTCTTCTCCCTATCCCAGCCTGGGCGGGACTGTTACCGGTGAAGGCCGTGGAACCGTATCTAGGAGTCACTGTGCTCTCTAACCCATTATCTCCCTCCCCTGTCCAAACGGAGGTGATGAGCGCTGCTCTGCGGCTGCACACACCGAAGTGAGGAGAGTCCCAACCCTACCTCCCCACCTAGTGGACACTTATGTTGTGTAATGTCTGAAGTCTGTGAGCATTTCTGTCAGAGGTGTTTTTTGCATATAAGCTACCCTCTCTGTTGAGGGTAACGCTGAAGTGCCTTTCCCCCCCCCCCCCCCCCCGACTCTATCCTCGTGTAAACCCTCTTGATCTATTACAGTAGCGCGACTCGGGTTGTGAATTACCACAGTCACCAATTCATGTTATGTGTGTGTATGTATGTATGTATGTCTGATCTCAGAATTGTGTGTACTGACACTCTAATTTCCCTCTGGGATTAATAAAGTATTATTGAATTGAATTGAATTGTTGCTAATGTTTGAATCATAAAATCTATATTTCATTAGTGCGCTGCTGTGATGCAAGCTGGTGGGCATTTTTAGCCATTGCTGCTGCTCTTTTCAGAGTGCAAATAACACACTGTCCTTGTATTTTCCATTAATATGTTTCCCTCCAGCTGATTGAAGCAAAACAAGAGAGAATTAGCTGGAAAGCGTATTACACTGCTTTGCATGTGTCAGTAAATGCAGTAATGATTTTATTCCTCGTTTGTTCTCTTTGTTTTAATTTATTAGAATTTAGCACAGCTTGGGGACAATGCAGAGGTTGGAGGGGGCTCTTTGTTCTGAAACATAGTGCACTTACAACATTTACCGTTTTGAGTGCATTTTCTCCATATTCTCCTTTCAACGGTTCTTCCTGTCTTCACCCTGCATCCCTTCATCACCATTTTACCCAAAGCAAAGGCTCTCTGATATAAAAAATGGATTCCTTATTTAAACCCAAGCTTGCCCTTTCGTTGGCGCTGTGCAGCATGACGTCACCCGTCTCACCCCTTTTGCTGAGTTGCAGTCATTACAGTTTTACCATTAAGCTTGTGTTGAACTGCACCATCGTGTGGTGGGCAAATGTACTGGCGCGAGATGTTGATCATTTTTTTTATTCAACAAAATAAGACATTTTTAGGCTATAGCTGCATGAATTGATGATCTGAGCTCAGATTTATTTATTCATTAGAAATGTTTATTTATTTAGCCATTATAAATGGTGCTTTTTTCAAATAGGGAGTCAGAAAATCTAAGTAAGCCTTTTTAAATGAAGAAACAGAATTTTCATTCTGCTTTTCTCCGCAAAAGCTTCTGTTTTGGCATTCTGTTCGTCACCGTGCATAAAAAGATCAAATCTGAGAGGAGCTCACAAGCTGCAGTCTGAACTGGAACAGATGCTTAGCAACAGGATTGATTCAAGCCCCGCCTACTAGGAGCCAACAGCCCATTTTCCCTCCCTCTGAAATATTCAATCATAACTCACCAAACTGATCTAAAACCTGACATTTTGTTTCAGAGGAAGAAAAGGTCAGCAGGTGCTTAATGGAAAGCAGATGACAGACGTGTCACAGAGAGAACGCAGAACTTGACTGAAGAAAATGTTGCACCCAGTTTTATTTATTAGTTTGAATGTTGTAAGCAGAACCCAGTTCACCGATCCTTTCCTTGTATGTAAGCAGCTGTTCTTCATCCATCATCAAAGTAAGTCTTTGACTCATGTGCTGCCACTTCCACCTTCTCAAAATGGTGTTGGTGAGGTCCTCCCACTGTCCATCCTAGTGGGATCTACAATACAAGATCTCCAACAACTTTTACCCTTTATGAAGCAAGTCTTCCCTCACTGTGACCTTCTTCTTGAATTCTGAGTGACTTTGTGCACCTTGGTGATTACATCTAGTCCATTACCAACCATTTGGTGAACTTTTATTTTATCTTTATCCTGATTCTGAGAAAATATTTTGTGTTTTACCTCTAGAGTCATTCCACCAACACCATGTACCACTAAGGTCTCTGCAACCCCTGCCGGCAGCCTTATGGGTGATGTAATTTGTGTTTCAGTTGCAAGGTCCAGCAGAGTCCCAATTCTTCGACCTGCATTTGCAGTTACTTCCATCAGCATCAGGATTGCAAGAAGCTCATAAAATCTGTTCTTTTCTAAGAGCTCAGACTGGTTTTCATCAGCCTGGGTTACCTGTGGGGTGCCTACTGTCAGATCTTCTTTCTAGACTCGGGTACACTTTCTCTGTTTTGTTTTTTTCTTCTCTAACCTTAGACTGCTCTTTCAAGGACATTTCATGTGATTTAAGGAACTTTGACAGCTCAACAAAGTGATGCTCTGGAGTCATTTTTTGTGGCTCTAACATAAAAATCAGCTGGGCCCTTTTGAGAAAATCAGGCAATTTGCTCCAAATTGTTTTAAAGGTGTGTAACTCTTAAAAAGATATACAAAAAAAAAACATTTTTTATTATTATTTCTGATTATTATCAGTCACTCTGAGTTTTTCATGCAGGCTGAACATGAAAATAGTCTCCTACACTTATCTCCTGCATTACCTTCTGATGGAAAATAGACAGTTAAACTCTAGGATTTAAAAAAAACTTGACAGATCTACGTCACATTGTCATTAAACAGTGGTGATGGACTCACCCATAGTGACTCGTGGCGGGGAGGCTTTTGTTGGTTTAGCGTCCAGGAAACAGCAGAGAACGTCTCGACTAGTAGAAGTTAGCAATTAGCATTAGCAACTCCGACACACAGCAGAACTCCTCCGATTTGAATTATATGAGGAGATAAAACATCAATGTTGCAAAGCAGAGTCAGTGGTAGAGCTGCGTTACTGTTAGCCAGTCTGAAGCGAGATGTCCAAATATCATGAAATGGGACCCCAAATCCTGTTGTCTGAGGCTCAGCTCTGATGTGGCTCACTTCTATTTCCTGAAAAGGTGCACCAGAGCATTTTCTCCCAGAGTATGACTCACAAGATATTCATTCCTACTAAAGACCACTGCAAATGTGCTGATTAAACAAGTGTTCCACACTTTTAATTGCTAGTTGGTTCTTTATTGAATCAGAATTTCCAAGTTCTGTCAGATCTTTTCGAGCTTTCGCTACAATCTGTGTCAAGTGAGTGAATCTTCTTACCAGTGAGGTTTTCTTCAGCTCTTCTAGAACTTTTAAGGCAATTGTTCTGTACGTTGATAATCTGTAGAAATCCTGGTTAACAGTAACTTTCTTAACTTCTGCAGATCTGGACAGTTCTCCTTGTCTTTGAAGGTTTTCCCAGTCTTTTAGCTGTGACACCCTCTCTTGCTCCTACTGAAGATGAGTAAGGAAGGAGTCAGCTGTTCTCCACTTGAGCTTTCTGGGACTTGTCTTGTCTTCTGTGGACCATGCAGAGAAAAACTCAACTTTTCTCAGTTAAAGATTTTAAGGTCTTTAATTGTTTTAGAGAGAAAGTATTTTCTCTCACTCTCACACTTTGGTAGCCTCACTTAGCTTATTCCTTGAGAGACCAATATACACTTCAAAGGCCTCCAGGTTTGGACTTTTTACATCACTACTTTTTCTGAATCAAAGATCGTTTGAGCTCTTGCGGACCATATCTTGACCACAAGTTCAATTGGATGAGATCGGTAGACACTTTAAATCTTGTTTCAGCCTCAACTGCAGTCTTCTCTAATTCATTTCCTGCTGCTCATTGTGGCATGATTCTTCTTCACCTTCCTCTTTTGTTGCTTCAGCCAGCAAATCACTCTTTTAATCATTATTTGCTTCTAGGAGCTCCCTGGAGTCTTCAGACAGTTTGTTTAATTCTTCCTTTGGTTCTGCTTCCACTGTAACCAACATCCATGAAGGAGATTTCTAATTTGAGAGAATGCTAATGCAGAAAGGTCACAGCTGGTCAAGAGTCAAAATCTCCACTATCATGATACCCAAGTTTTCTATGTGTGTGGTGGTGACTTATTTATGACCAAATTTCCATAGACACACTGGAGTAATAACCTTTTTGAAGCACCTCTACATAGAAATGCTCTCCTTATTTCTTCTGGGATGAACATTCCAATGACAGTCAGCATTCAAACAGCATTCTTAAAAAAATGCTATTTACCTGCTTATTCTTTTTTTTTATTTTAGGGATGTGCAAGAGAACCGAATGTTGCCGTCGGTGAAAGACAACAGTGGCAGCCACGGCTCACCCATCAGCGGCAAGCTGGAGGGTGTCTTCTTCAGCTGTAACACAGAGTTCAACACAGGCAAGCCCCCACAGGACTCCCCATATGGTCGCCAGCGCTTTGAGGTCCAAGCCGATGCCCTCTTCAACCCTAACACCAACCTGTACTTTGGAGACTTCTACTGTATGTATACAGCCTACCACTATGTCATTGTGGTCTTGGCACCCAAGGGATCCAGGGGTGATGAATTCTGCAAGCAGAGGCTTCCTGTGCTGGACATCACTAACAACCGTTTCCTTACCTGCAAGGAGGACAAAGACGGTGGTCTGGTGTTTCACCATGCCCAGGATGTCATCCTGGAGGTGATCTACACAGAGCCTGTGGACCTGGCATCAGGCACAGTGGCTGAGATCAGCGGGCACCAGCTGATGAGCCTGTCTACAGTAAACGCCAAGAAGGACCCCAGCTGCAAGACCTGCAACATCAGCGTGGGGCGCTAAGAAAGAACAATGTATAAAACAAGGGGATGGGGTGATCTGACTGTCACACACAAACACACACGCAAAAGAAGGCCACGTCTACTGGTGAAGCAAACACATGCATGAAGCAGCTGTTTAACCAGAACATGGACATAAATACTTCTGACTCTGTTCATTAAAGTTCATCGATTCCAAAGACGAGTGAAGAAAAAAGAGGAAGAGGCAAACTCATCTGAAAATGATGAAGTCACAGAAAAAAAACTGAGATATAAATATCAACAATAGCACCGATTTATTCCTCCATCAGAAAAGTCATATGTGTGTACTGACCAAATCCTTACATCAAACTAAAACAAAGTGACCACTTCCTGTTGATTTTAGTGAATTGTCCCACATTTAACTAATTCTCTTGCCTTGATGTTGCTAATAAGCTGTTAACTTCCACTGTGTGTTTGGACAATGTCCTTAATATTTCCTCTAACAGTAACTTAATAAGTTCTGCTTGTTTTTACTTCCCCCTAGCGGTGAAGACTGGTACTACACGTTTTTAGGGCTGAAACATCAACCATTCTTTTGTCCTACAATACCAAAGGTGTTAAAGAAACAGACGTCAAACTGCTGTGGGATCTAAGGTATACACTTTGAATGTGGACAACTTAAAAAAAAAAGCATGACTCAGTTCGGTGCAGCATGAGTGTGAAAGCTGTCAGTACCTGTACCATAGCGACCATGTCACTCTTCATCATCCGTGGAAGAAAAGAATGTAGAACCATGAACCATGTGTCCAGCCGAATAGATGTGAAAAAATATTTATTTTTTACTATTACATTCATATAGATATATAAATATACAGAATACTATATAAACCAGAAGTGCACAATGTGAAAGCTTAGATCATTGTTGACACAGGCATTTGGAAGGGATTAACTTCACAAAGACAAAAAAAAAAAATACCTGGGGCGGGGGTTAAACACAAATTAGACAGCAGATATGACTTGCACTACTATGCTTAGGTTCACTGCATTTTTTTTAAATCTGAGATCAACATCTAAATTGACGAGTTTAGATGAACTTTAAAACTCTGAATGCATACCATAGCACAATGTAGGAAAATAAAAACCTGACATGCACAAACATCGCAAGATTGTCCCACTGCATTTTAACGTACACATTTCCTTTTTTTTTTATTTTTTTACAAATGCAGTTTCTACATCAAGAACAAACAAAAAAAAATACTATCCTGGCAAGGTTATAAAGTGAGTAACAAAGTGCCATAATTACATGAAGTATTTATAAATGGCTCAACTGGAAATAGCATCAAGCTGCCGTGCTTCATCCTTGAGAAATATGCATTAGTCGTGCTACATGGCGTACATTTGCTACATCATTTAAAAAAATATGTCCTGTACTATGAGGGATGATTTTTTGGGACCAAGAAATAAAAGTTGATTTCCATCAGTATTCTTCATGTAAAGTGCATTTACACAACAAGCATGGCATGGAACAAAACTGGCTGGCCTCAGGAACTGTTTCTTTTCCAGGAATGATCATATCCTGGTAATAATAATAACAAACAGACAAAAGTCCCACTGTGAGTAACTCAACTCGTCTTGGTTGAGTCTTGTTTACTGAGCAGAGCCTCCAGGAGGCGGAGCTTCGCTTTGAGGGTCTTGTACTGGCAGTACTCCTCCGCCATTGGTCCCCGGTCCTCCTTCTGACAAATCCTGTTAATGATGCAATTATATGGCAAACTTTTTCAATTCATGATTTTCAAAAGAACCTGCAGCAGCTTTCATGACTGGTCGATGGTCCCTATGTTGCCTTACTCGGATAGCTTTGTACAGTGTGTGTATTGTAATATTACTGTATTTACTTTTGAATACTAACATGTACAGTACAAAGGATGTGTACAGTTCAGAGCAAACGTCTGTCTCTTTGTCTCTCTCCTGAACTCTGTGCTGGGTTAATGTGACATGAGTGTGCATAATCACTGTCGTACCGTCGCCATGGAATTTCTTTTTAGTGGGTGTTTGTTATTCACAAGGCATTGTTAAAAAAAACAAATGTTACAAGTTTCTTAAAAGGAGAAAAATAAAACAATCATGTCAAGCATCCTTAAAGTGATTTTTGTGTTTGTGTGTGAGTGAGTGAGTGAGTGAGTGAGTGAGTGAGTGAGTGAGTGAGTGAGTGAGTGAGTGAGTGAGTGAGTGAGTGACAATTACCTGCCAGTCTGTGTGTAAAAGTGTTCCTCAAACTCCCGTAGAGCTTGGTGAAGTCGCCGCTTCTCTAATCGGACCGTCCTCAGATGATCTAGTAATTCCTGTCTGCATCATAGAACATTCATGTCTTTGACTATGAATATGCACAAGGTAAGAACTGTGAGCTTTCATATGTGTCACGCACACAATTATTATTATCAATATTATTAAGTCAAGCACACATACCAGTAAAATAACCATCTACTTAGGTCCTACACAGGGTGAAGCTGCTTTTAACTAACATGCTATCTAGTATCAGCCTTTGCATGTTTCTTATGCTGCACCTTCTGCACTGTAACTGCTCACCCCTTAACTTTGTCTTTTTTCTGATTCTTAAATCTAGAAGTTATTTGTGTATTTTAATTGTGCCGCACACGGTGTCATGAATAGAAAGCCGATTGAATTGCCTCTGTGTATGAAATGTACTATACAAAAAAAAAGCTGCCTTGTCTCACCATGCCACACACTTGCAGTTCCACCGGCTGGCCAGTGATGGTGCAATTTTTTTTTGTAAAATGCCTCCTTGCTGATCTTTGCTGATTTTTGTGATCTGACCACTAGGGGCATAAGAATGCCATTTTCTATCTTCTAGTGTGGTCCTCCTTATTGGGACCGGCATTTTGGTCCTAAGTTGTCCGTCGGTCCCAAAACGGACAGCATTTTTACTGGCTGTGGTCTCAACAAGACTAGTTAAACAAGAACACACACAGACACACACACACACAGAAGCTGTACCTAGATGCTTCATGTAGTGTTGCCATAGCGATAATCTGAGACTGGACACTTTCCACTCCCTCCAGAGGAGAAACCAGAGGTGTTTCAGACATTTCCAGAGATGGTGGAAACTGCGACTCATCTGCGGACACACACCTGCTTGTATTCAACCAAAGTGGCTGCTGCTTGGGGCTTTGTTGTTTGAAATACTCATCATCAGAGCCCTCCTCTTCCTCCTGTACAGATACACAACACTGGTATTTGTTTTGGTTTACCAACACGTCAGTTTTTCAACAAGTAAAACAACACACATCACTGTTTAACTATTATCAACTTAACCGTGCATTCAGATGTTTATTTTGCTGAACAAAATCCAATATTTGCTGTAAATCTTATTTTATGCCACAAGAGGGCATCACAGCACCACTACTCCAAGACCATGTCAGCTACATTGAGGATTTCAGGGGAATCATATAAAAAGATTAAATCTGAGTCCTATTCACACAAAAGCAGTTCCCAGACGTGTTACCCACAATGGTTGTGATGGCTGCCGTAGAAGCAGGAGAAAGCAGCTGCTTGAGCAGACGGTAGCGATCGTAGAAAGGTTTCATCAGCACGCGCTCCTGCCTGGTACTCTGAAAAAAATAAAGAAGATTTTTTTTTATTAGAATACAAATTCAGGACATATCAATGGTACAAAAAAATGAAGAGAAAACTATGACTGGTCATACTGGGCGTCCATGTAGACCCTCAAAATACAACAGACACTTCTGCATACAGGTCTTCTCTATGCTCATCTGGAAGTGAGACATCTCCTGCAGAGAGAAAGACAGGAACAACTACTTTTACTGCTTTACCCACATCTAACCTCAAAGTTTGCATGTGATGGAAGCTCTTCTGAAAGACCAACCTCGATGCTGTCAGGAAGGCCGAGCTCCTGCCGTTTTTCCTTCAGCCGGTTAGTTATGGAGTTGAAAGTTTCCTCCACGTTAGGTTTGGGGTTGTTGTTGTTATTGAGCTGCTGAAGCTCCGTTCCAGTTGGTCCTGCTTCCCTCTGGTCCATATTTGTCCTGCATGTTTCAGAACTGGGGCTGAAACCTCCAGACTGTCTCAGCTTCATCTCTACAGAAAAAACAGAAAATTCAGCTTAACTTTTAACTTCATTTCATTCAATCATTCAACTTCCCAACACCAGTTTCAGAAGAAACCAGATTTAACACACTTATGAAGGAATGTTCATGATTAAATAACTGACCTTTGAGCTGCTTGCGACTCTTGATCAGCTCTTTCATCAGTTTGGCCACCTCTGGATGTGCAGTCTTGTCGTTGTGAGCGGGCTAAAAATATATATGTACATATAAATATTTTTAAACAGCTAACCCGAGTCCTGCTGGCCAAGTGTGTGTGTGGGCTAACATTTTTACTTTTACCAGTAGAGAGAGTAAATTATCAACTTTTTTAAAATTAAAATACAAACTGAGTATCGCACTCAATCTCAACTAGGCAGTTAGACAAAAATATAAAAGGCATAAGTCCCATAAAAGAAAAATATAATATTCTGTGGGGTTTTTTTTCAGCTATGGAACCACAAGGGGCTCCTTGGGCCATCTACAATGTTAAAATTGATATGTTTACCTAGAAATTATAAAGAACAAACAAAACAATCAACTCCTGTTTCTATTGATGGATAAAATAAAAACGAATGTATTTTAAGCAGCTTCTCAGTTCTTTCATTAAATATTTTCATTGGAAATCCACAACAGAATGACACTAAAAAGTACTAATAATATATTTAGTTCCATTTAGTTTTTTAAACATAATTTTCGGTAAATATCAGCATCTGACTGAAAAAATAATACTCATTTTAAAAGTTTTTAATGGTCACGGTCAGTTGTTCAGGCAGCAGCCTAAGCAGGGAGGCCCAGATGTCCCTCTCCCCCAGTAATTTTTCAACTACTCAGAGGGAATCCCGACGCACTAAGGCCAGCGTGTCCTGGGTCTTCTTTTTGGTCTCGTCCAGGTTGGATTTGCTTGGAAAACCTCACCAGGGAGGCGTCCAGGAGGCATCCTAACTAGGTGCCCAATCCACCTCAACTGGCTCCTCTTGACCATAACAACAAATCTATTATAATAGATAACTGTAGACAAGGAAAAAAAAACATTTCTGAATTTAATCTCAGAAAAAATGAACTTTTTTCCCTCACTGACCATTATCCTTTTCTAAGGTGTGTTTTGCTAAATGTTTTGTAACGGTTGAGGCTCTAAACAAGTTTTACTCCAGTGTACTTAAGAGAAAAAAAACTCGTCAAACTGTTTCCACTCACCACCCAAACAGGAGGGAGTGACTTCCTTTCTTACCTTGTAGTGCCTCTCTTGTTCAAAATGCTCTTCAAAGCATCTGATCCTCTTTCTGAGGGTGTGAATGTGTCTGTTGAGCACAGAGACAGACGCAGAACCTTCGTCCTGCTCTGTGTGGACGCTGCAGCGAGCCCTGAAAACAGAAAAGGCCTCATTAGTTTGAACACATCAATATGTAACTGTAGCCACCAGAAAACTACTCTAGCAAGATGATAAAGACAGAAAAACAGAAGGTATGGATGGCTATTAGATATATTTTTTTCCTACATGCGTATATGCTGTGAGCAGGGTGGAGACGGAGCGGTCTCGGGGTCTAGGTTGTAGCGCAGGCTGTGGCTTAGGCTGGGACAACGCGGAGAGGGAACAGGGCAGTCGCCTGGCTTAAAACAGGACAGAAGGGGGCTGGGGCTGGAAAGCGGTGAGCTCAGCGAGGCGTCGTCTCTGGAACGAGAGGCAGTGGAGAGCACGGGGCTGGAGTCTGGTGTGGATGGAGACTGGATGTTTGCTGTAAGAGGTGGAAAATAAATTAGACTTTTGGACTCAAATATGGTCAAAAATAAAACATTGGTGATGATTATTATTATTCCTATGCATCTAGATTTAAAAAAACAATGACTTCCTCTTACCAGAAGGAGATGAGTCAAGCAGATCTTGAGGTGGTGACAAGGGCAGCACGTGGCTCAGATGAAGGCACTGTGCTTCCGTGGAAAGAGACTGCTGTTGAGCAGGTGGGTGATCCGGTGCTTTGGGGTCTAAAGATTCAGGCAAGGGTCCTGGATCAGCCTCCAGGGCTTGAAGCTTAAGGGACGGGCTCTGAAAACAGAAGCAAAACATGTCCTCAGGGGTGCAGCCGAGGGAAGAACATAAGAGGTTCTGGAAGAAGTACGGATCAACAGGAAGAAATGGGTTCTCCAGCGTTTCTCATGCTTGGAAATCTTCACAAGTCCCAATAAAACTAGTTTACTTATGACAAGATGATCCGAGAAAGGTTTGAGTCAAAAGGGAACTCTCTGGGATCAGGCTTCGTGGTTTAAATCAACTACAAGTCAGGAAATAAACCAGCAAAAAAATAATCCGAGCTCCGGTCAGCACCAGCATCTAGAGTGGGAATCGTGAACAGCAACGTCAGCTGTAGCATCGTGATTTCCATGTCCACATGTCTGCGAGTTCTTTAAATTCTTCCGAGCGGCATTCCCAACGCCTCTGCGGCTGAGCAGCCTCCACGAGGATCATTCATACTGAAGGGGGGTGTTGGAGGGAATATCTCTCCGGTTGTTGCGTGCCATGTGGGCGTGTGCGTGAGAGAGGTACTATATATGACGAGGCGTTTCCACAGCAACATGGTCTGAGGGTGAGGAGTTGAGTTGATTGAGACGAAGGGGCTGAGCGCGTGTGTGTGTGTGTGCAGAGTGCAGACAAAAATGGATTTATGTTGTATGAAAACGTGTGTGTGTGTGTGTGGGGGGGGGGGGCTGGACTAAAGACGTTATCTGCAGCTTTTCCTGTCTTAGTCATCATCATGAGCAGCAGCATCTAAAGGATGGGTTTCTTCTCTCTCTCTCTCTCTCTCTCTCTCTCTCTCTCTCTCTCTCTCTCTCTCTCTTCTCTCTCTCTCTCTCTCTCTCTCATCCTTCTCAGCAATTCATAAAAAAAACAGCTTTGTGCGTCACGCAGAGGAGGTGGACAGACGTGAGGGAGTGGATCTGGGGCTGTTATTACAGGAGCTAAACACCTACAGACAGGCATGCCTGTCATCTATAATACATACTGTAGGCAGACAAGAATACACAGTGACTCTTGAGGAGTCACCTGTCCTTGCACATGTGGTTTTTTTTATGTGTCTGTTAAAGGAGGACTTACGTCAGAGCTGCTGCTTGTGCCTCTGTCAAGAGCGCCATGACATCCTCCCCCTTCTTCTCTTTTGCTTCTCTGAAAGAAGTGAAACCATCACTAACGAAGACACATCCAGATGCTGAAGTGTGTGTTAAAAATAACACAACCAGTGTAGCGTCATGAATGTCCTGTTTTTGACCTAAAGGTCATGATCTGCTGCGTCTGCTCGAGCAGAGACATAAAGTCTCTGACAGCCTAATCTACATGAGATAGTGGCCAAGGTCTTTCATGCACTCTGCTCATCTGAACTGCTTCACCTTTGTTACAGCGAAGAAGAACTAGTTTGATAAACACATAATCAACAACTTTGTTATTACCAATAATAATGTGAGCCCAATGTTTAATCAATCTGTGAAATGACAATGTTATTACTTGATATTATAATCCTGTGATCAGTAGTATTTTACAAGTTATTATAATCTTGGACATTTGCACTAGACACTAATGACACGTAATGCTAAAGTCACACGACACATTTCCTTTTGTCTGATCCAATCAGAACCTTCGTTTCTTGCGCAAGGCGTGGTTTTCTGTGGCGTTTGTATAAGCCCTCTTTTGCATGTCAAATTCTGATAAGCCAGTAAACCAAAATATGACAATTATAAAAACTATTCCACGCCACCTTTTCTTTAGTTCAAATCATTCTAGAGAAGTCTTGGACAGGCCATCCAGACTTCCTTTTCAGCCAAAAAGAACCTCGACAAGCTGGATAAAATCTGTTGCAAGTTACATCTGATCGCAACGGTTCCTTCAGAATAAAAGCTGAACCTCACGACCCCTTCAGCGTCTCGGAGACGCCAGTGATAACCTGTCGTGACCTGGAAGCATTCCAAGACTAGTTTGGTCTGCACCGCTGCTTTTCTACCGGCTTCGGTACCAAGGAGGGTCCTTGAGGACCTCGGCATTCTGGATCTAACGAAGGCTTCCCCTGGGTCCGTAGATGGCGTTTCATGTGTGTTGTAAATCCATCCATCCATTTCCTGAACCCGCTTTGTCCACGCAGGGTCGCGGGGGGGGGGTCAATGGGCAATCAGGCAGGGTACACCCTGGACAGAGAGCCAGTCCATCGCAGGGCAACACAGATACACACAGGACAAACAATCACGCACGCACACACACACACACACACACACACACACACACACACACACACACACACACACACACACCTAAGGACAATTTAGACGGACCAATCAACCTAACAGTCCTGTTTTTGGACTGTGGGAGGAAGCCGGAGTACCCGGAGAGAACCCACGCATGCACAGGGAGAACATGCAAACTCCATGCAGAAAGATCCCAGGCCGGGAAGCGAACCCAGGACCTTCTTGCTACAAGGCAACAGCTCTAACCACTGCGCCACTGCGCAGCCGTGTGTTATAAAACTCCTACTAAAGTTTAGAGCGAAACATTCACTCCCACTCAGAACCAACTGCTTCTCCGGATCCGCTGGTTCTGAATAACATTCCACACACACACCAACATCATTCATCACGTCTCACTCCACCTTAGTTCCATCAGTACAGAGTGTTTAAGTTAGTCTTGTTTAATTGTGTAGAAATAAATTTCTTAACTATTTTAAACCTGACTCTCTCTCTTTCCTTGGAGTTAATACGAAGTGTAACTTAATCCCTGCAATAAAAAGTTCCGATCTTCTGGTTAAATTATTCAAAGATCCATCAGATTGATATTTCATATTTCTATGGAATCTCACATTTTATGGTTCATAAGTAAGATGTAAACTACCCATTCTTTACACCAGGATAGGGAATTACCAGAGTTCAAGGTAGTAATTGATTGTTTATTTTCTCTACTTAATATTAATCTTTGCTGAGAATTTTATTTTCATTATTTAAATTCTCAGATTTTAGAGAAGGGGTTTTCCGGTGTAATAGTCCTTTCCGATTTACAAACTTGCAAGCTTAAAGATGTTTTTAGAGTTCACTCAACACTCACATATCCTGGCAAATAAAGAAAAGGGAATGTTCCATATATTAGGTTTTGTTGTTCAGCCTGTTTGTCCCAAACACAACTCAGCTCAGATATACAGAATAAACTACTAAAACATTTCATAGACATTAAGAATTTTTTTGCTGCCATTTCAGTCACAAATTAAAAAACTTTGATCACAGTTCAGGTCTCAATATTTGTAACTGCTTTGCAATAAAATAAAGGTACTTAACAATAGGATGGAACAGTTTTTGTACTTTTACTACTAAATTCAGTTGTTAGAAATAAAATTTAGAAATGTATTATTAAAAAAAAGAATATTTGATGTTTGTTTTAAACCTTTCAGATGATCTAATAATTAATTTGCTTTTAATTCCTCTAAGCAAGTTTAAAGTGACAATGTGCATTTTCCCTGGTGATAGGGGGCAGTATATACCCAAATCCTTTTTGTACGTTCATTCCGTGTTTTTATTCGTAATCTATTTCTTGCTCTTTTCTTACTCAGTTTAGTAAAAAATATTTTTTTTTAATCTGACGTGTTTCAGCTAGTATCTCTAGCCATCATCAGAGACTGCCAGTGTTGGTGGCGTCACTTCCTTTTATCCGCAGGCAGTAGAGGGCGACATTGTCCTCTGCTGCCCACAGAACAAGAAATAGATTACATACCTAAATCGTTGCAAGCAAGCAGCATTTTTGTGTTTGAGTAAGACCTTACCAACGGATGGCCATTAGGGTCAAAACTCCCTGGAAGCGCAACCTCCACCAAAATGACAAACACATCAGACTCCCTTTCATCACTGGCATTGAGCGAAGAGGTAAATGTGTTCAGCAACAACGTTTATGAATGGCAAAAGTCTTCTAACAGTTTGTTACAAATCAGTAAATGTGTTTTGTCCTCACGGGCTCCCGTAGAAGGAAACATGATGTCTAATATGGCATCGTCCAGAGACTTAGGGTGTTTCTCAATGCCAAGGAACCTTACCTTGATGTCTTGGTCCCCCTCCGGTTGCCTAGGAGATACGTCATCAGGAACCGCCAAGGTGTGTTCCAATGTTCGTGTTCTACCGAGGCATGTGTTCTCCGTTTGTTAGTCGTTTAGCTAGCTGAGCACGGATACACGGGAGGTGCCTTGTAGCCTAGCCTTGGTCAAAAATTTCCCAGAATACACCACGGTATTTTCAAAAGGATGGCAGATCAGGGACCGGCAGCTACTTCGGGGGCCATTTTCAAGTTTAAATGTAAGTCAACTAATTGTAGCTATCGAGCTAATATCTAAAACGTTTTTTTTGTAATATCCAAAGTAGTTAGCAATGGTTGGTTAGTTGCTAATTGTAGCTTCTGTGGCTAGCAGGTAGTAACTCGCTTACATATTTAATTTAACCAATATATACACAATTTAAAAAGTAAAAGGCTCATATATTTATATTGAAACTTAAATGTATAAAATATAACTTTACCTCATGTGTCAAATGACGTGAACATCGTGGAACCCGTGGTCACGTGATGTGAGCCTGTTCCACTTAACCATTTTCTTTGACCAAGGAAGGACAGTGTCCTCGTAAGCAAGGCATCTGGCCTAGCAAGACATTGCCTTGCTAGGCCAGATGCCTTGACATTGAGAGACACCCTCAGACCCACTCCCATGTATTTTAGACCTGATTTTAATGGTTGTATATTACAAAGCTGCAAATATATTTCAACAACGGGGAATAATTTCATTCATTTTCAACAACATTTCGATGGATATTTCCAGACATTAATGGTAAAAACTACCCATTGTCTCTTTATATTCTCTACTTTATTAAACTAATAAGTTATTACTTAGCAGAGAAGCTAATTTACCATGCATGGAGATTCCGCTGCTTTCTCTTCTTTCTTGTACTTTATGCAGCACAAGAAGCTGGAAAACAACAATGAAAATGTAAGTTGGAAGTCAGTGGGGCATCTGGCACAAGTATAACAGCTACAGCTCATATGTGTCTGAAATTAACACAACATAACTGAGATGTACTTTTGATTCCAGGAAGTGGACACAAACAGAACAAGCAGCATTGCATCATGCTAAACCGGGTTTTAGTTAGCTGCTCAGTGTTATCTGAACAGGAATCATATGAGAGCCAGGGCTGTAAGCAGCACAATGCTCCAATAACCTACTTCTCAAATGACTGCAGGGCTTAGAGCGGCACTGAGAGGGACAAAGCAGGGGCAGAGGGGCACAAAAACTATCGCTGGTATCCAGAGCTCTGAAACCAAAGTCAAAATGCTATGAAACGTTCACCTGACTTAACCGGAAAAAAAAAACATTAAACTATAAACAGTTCAAAGATGTTTAAAACCATTTATTAAACAAAATACTAGTAGATCATCTGTGTATAATGCAAGTTTATGTTCTTTCTTTCCAATTTTTATACCGGTGATTGATGTAGGAGGATCTTATTTGACATCAATGTTTATGTTTCTCAGATTGGATCACAGGATTTTGTGGAAAGAAACAGCGTATTTTTCCTATACGAATGTGCTGCAAGTTTGGAGGAAGATCTCGTGAAGCTGACGGATCATTCCTGCTTTGTGGTTTATCGTTCGGCCTGTGGGAGGCTCGACAAAAAGTTTTACTGGAGTTTCCTCCATAAAGGACCAAGAAATGCAAAATAGATGATTGCGGGCAACCAAAACTCTCTGAAGAAAGCCGGGATTCCTGCAATAACGGACAGTTTGTGAGGCTCATTTTGTTGGTGGTAAGTTCTTGTCACTATTTGGTAATTAGAGAAGTTGATTTTAAAAACATTCAACTTTGTGTATTTTTAAATCCATTGAGTCATATTAATTTCAAGTTATGATTCAGGTGTCTCCAGTAATTATAGTAATAAATAAAGAAATAAATAAGGAAACTGATTAATGATTAATGCAGAGGGGACTTATCAGTTTTCTTTGGCCATCACGCATAGGTGATGTGAATCATTCTGACGGAGTTGACTCCTGCTTTTAGCATGACTACGGCTTTCTGTTTTCAGAAGAGATTGGCCCAACTTTCCTTGAAACAAAAATACCGGTAATCGTAGGCCTCCAGACGTTTGAAAGCCTTTCATTTTTTCATGAGAGAAGGGTCCAGGGCTTTCTATTAAATAAGGATAAATGTCTCCCCAGCAGATAGGTGGAAAAAACCCCAGTGAATCGGATCTAAGTATTACCTCGTTGCAGAGCTCATACAGGCTTTGAATAACTTTAATTTTGCTTTCAATACAGATTTTAAGCTTCTCTCTAAACCTTGTCCTGTCTTTAGGCATTAAAGTGTTTATATATCAAACTTTCTTGAAAGTGTGCGTCCTGTATTGACAGATCACACAGCCACCCGCACATGTGCACTCATATGAAAAAAGAATTGGAAGCATTAATTAGTGTCCTCAAAACATTCAGCTTTAAGAAGAAAAATGTTTTATAGCTTTTACTCACCTCTGTGTGTCCTGATTCTGCATTTGGGTTTTGCTTGGTGATTCACTTCCTGTGTGGCAGTTTGAAAATGATGAACTCTGCCCTGCCTCAGCAGAAGTCTGGAAAACAGTTCAATGCTTGTCATCAAATGTCATTTATGATTCATTATAACAGTCCCTAAATACAGTTCATGGCAGCTCCCAATCATTTATTTCAGTTGGTGCAGTAATAAAAGAAGGCAGGAGGTCAGAACATCTGTGCACAAATCAAGTAGGAGCCCAGAACAATGTAAAAAAAATATTAAAAACATTGTTAATGCACACCAAATAACAAGTGTCTTTAAAAGATGGGGACATCTTTACTTCCTTTTCCTTCTCAATGTGAGTCAGCCAAGGCGTCTGAGAAAGCATCCTGCAGGAATAAAGAAGGTAGACGGTAAAACTTGTGCTTTATCTCATCAAACTGTAAGAATGTCATCTGAGTGAGTGGAAAACTTCACCCTTTCACTGATAAATCAGTCTCCAGTGGTAAGGCTTGTGACTGTCCACTCTGTGGCGGTGCGTCTTCCTGCTCTGGGTCAGTGGGACAGGAGAGCACACGGCCTGATTTGGTCATCACCTCGCATTTCTCCAAAACAGTCAGGTCTGAGATCAATGTCTGAATGTCAGCGCTGACGTCAGAGCTGGTTTCACAAGCTTGCAGCAGTGAGTCGGGACTGTGAAGACACACGCAGAGGAAATAATTCAATTCAATTCAAAAATACTTTATTAATCCCAGAGGGAAATTAGAGTTTCAGTACACACAGTTCTGAGGTCAGACATACATACATACATACATAGACACATGACAAGGATTGGTGACTGTGGTCATTTGCAACCCGAGTCGAGCTACCGTAATAGATCAAGAGGGTTTACATGAGGATAGAGTCGGGGGGAGGGGGAAAAGGCACTTCAGTGTTACCCTCAACAGAGAGGGCAGCTTTGATATGCAAAAAACACCTCAAGCAGATATGCACACAGACTTCAGACATTACACAACATAAGTGTCCACTAGGTGGGGAAGTAGGGTTGGGACTCTCCTCACTTCGGTGCGTGCAGCCGCATGGAGCAGCGCTCATCACCTCCGTTTGGACAGGGGAGGGAGATAATGGGTTAGAGGGCACATTGACTCCTAGATACGGTTCCACAGCCTTCACCAGGCTGGGATAGGGAGAAAGAGTTTCCATAGCGATGGCAGCATTCCACATTTCTACTGAGGGGAGTTTACACTTCAGCCTCACAGGCTCCAAGGGCACCAGATTCAGATAAAAATTGTTTTGGGGACAGACAGAGATAATTTCCTCTCTGCCTTAGTGTTCTGTTGGTCTTCAACCCCTCTAGATCCAATAATGGCGTAATTAATCTATCCCAATCCGTGCTAATCCGTCAACGCGCTTTGGGCTTCCTGACAGGGTTGCGGAAGGCGCTTTATAAATAAAGCTTTGATTGATTGATTGATTGATTGATTGATTGATTGATTGAATGAACTCGCTCCTTGATGGAATTCACCTTCTGTGCCAGAGCCTGAATCTCAGCCAAAGTTCCAAACTTACGACTCATCTTGACAATTATATGAGTTTGTTCGTTCACAGCGCGATGCATTCCATCCCTGAGCTCCGGGATTGAGCCAATATTCCTCGAAAGCTTGTTAATTTTCCGGTAACCGCTCAGTCCAAACAGCAGGAATCCCGACACCAAAAAGACAAATATCCAAACATCTTCAGAATCCTCTACAGACAGTTGAGAGAGGCATATCAGGTTCCACTGTTTCCATGAGTCCATGATATACCCAGCTGGCTCCGTCCCAGAGGGGCATCCAGGAGCCCCTTCTCCAGTTCTCATCGTTGAAAAAAATTTGTAAATCGCATTGGGAGACCAACTGACCAGATCCATTTTAATAATTTCCAGTTTCCAGAAAAAAATGCAGAAAGCTCTGTGCACAAGACAGGACAAAGAGCCTTGGGATGAGGAGGGAGAGGAGAGAAAAAAAGCATTTGTACTCTCCAAGAGCCAGAAGAAAAAGTAAATAATTAGGAATTAGGAATAATTAGGAATGCTTTATTATGTAGCTCCAATACTACATGATTTACAAAGCAGCACAACAGATACTTTTTCTTAATGTCTGGGCAGAAAAAATAAGTGAGTGAAACAAATTACAACACCAAAATGGTTGACCCGATGGGATGGGAGCAGGCATCAAACAGCAAATATGAGTTAAGGCCACGATTATTCTTTAGAAAACACAAATCTCTGGTGGGAAACAACTTGATCCACATCTTATAAAAACACTGCTTACTGCTTCCACTCCAGACAACTTCCATCACATCCAAAAATTAGTCAACAGTGACAAAAATGAATTAATTAGCAAATAGGAGAGTGTGGTGATAACACTTGGTGATAAATGTTCAACAAATCCTGATACAAATGAGTCAGACCACAGATTTCTTTGTTGATGGCTTCGGACGTGTTAAGATCCATTACTGATCCAAGCTCTGGATTGGCTCACTTTCTTTTGAAGGACTGTTGATCCATAGTTGTCTCTGATGCTGAAGCAGATCAGACAAGAAAACATTTCCTGGCAAAGTTTCAGGAGCTTTTACAGCAGTCGAAACACACAGAATCCAAGGATGCGGCGAAAGCAGGCACATAGAAAAACCGAGCCCAGATAATGAAAACTCTGTGGTAAAGGGTTGAAAGCTGGAGGCAATGAGCTGACCCACAGACTCTACCCACACACTCATAAGCACATGCAGACACCAGCTCGCTGATGATTGGTCATATTAGAGCCAACTGTGCCGATTCCAGCACAGCGGGATGAAGTAGGTCGGAAAGGCAAAAAAAAAAAAAGCCAGAGTGCAACACACAACTTCATATTCACAAAACACCAACTAACTTGTACATAATCATTTTTTTACCTCCTAAGAAAATAAATGCGTGCATGTTGGAGGACAAATCCCATTATAGGGATGTAAGAAATATTGATGGACTGAAATATTGCAGTGTTTCATGTTGTGAGTTCATATTTAAAAGCAATGCATCAATACTTTTGAGAATTTACATGCAAACTTGTACTGTATTTATTTTTGTCTGATGCAATTCAAACTCTGACTGCTAGATGGCAACAGTTTTCCCTCCTTTGCTCTGGGGAAAAAAGATCTTGTGATAACACTGGATGTCTGCCCTGAGTTTTCAATTAAATTCAAAAATTGCAAATATTTTAAAATTTTAATATCGCAACATATCGAATCATCTCCCTGTTACGTCCTTTAATGGTGGAAAAGAGAAGGACAGGGAGGAACACGGAGGCATGTGCTTCGTGTTAAAAGTGTTAAAATCGTAAACATGGTTTATATTTTAGGATTTTTAAAAGGCACAAAGCTCCAAATCTAAAAGGTGAACACTCCAATATTTTGAGGATTTATGTTGAAATAAGTAAATTTTTCCTGCTAACAAAGAAAATCTTGATTTTCCAGAGACGTCCGAGCTTTGTGATAAGTGAAAAAAAATCAGGTAACACATTTTGACAAGTTCCTCAGGTGAGGAGAGCAGAGTACCTGCTGAATTCAGGTTGCATTTGAATTGTTTGCTCAACAGCCATTTTTGCAGTCTCTTCCTCCAACACCCCCATGCTGCTCCGCTCTGACTCACAGCTTCTGGGTTGGACCTGTCAAGGAACACAAGAGCCACATTACAGCACAACCTCCAGCTGTTTAAACAAATACTAATTCAGTAGGATCAAATTAATGTGGAACAAAAGAAAGTCTGAATTCACCTCAAAGTGTGAGAGAGCAGAAAGGGGAGGAGGAGGTGAGTAAGAGGCAGCTGATGCTGAGACCTCAGCTGGGCCTGGAAGGAGAACCACCTGGTGCCGGAGGATGTGGAGCAACAGGGCATTAGACACACTTTGCTCCTCCAGCATCCTGGGTCCTGCTGGAACACTGCATGGGGAACAGATGGGGAGCAAAAACTAATATGAACATTTCACAAAGACCTTTATGTATGTCTAAGAACAAACACGATGGTAAAATATGCCACCTAGTGGCCACAGGCGTGAACATCATTCCAATAATTTTTCTCTACATCATGCACTTATTTCTGTGCAGCTGTTTTTACTTCATCATAAGCAAATAGACACATCCTAATTTTATTCCTAAAAGTTTTATTGAATTACACAAATTAACCAACTTGTCATTCTATGTCTGACATTTTCACCTCAAGCACATTTTTTTACTAAAAAAAATACAAGACTGGGATGTTTAAATGAGATATGAGTATTGAGCTGAATGGCCTAACATCTACAGCCAAAGAAACTTCAAAAGTGTTTGTGTGAGGATCCCTGGAGACTGCACGTGTTTATAGCCATGGTAGTGAAATGTAAACAGGAAGGGAGAAGCAACGAGCAAAGTTCTGATGACATCTGTTGTATATGTGAGGCGTTTCGGTGCCACGCTCTGCGTAATAAGCCACAACCGACACCCACTTCCTTTAAGGAGTGAACTCAACTTCACCAAACACTCAGCTGCTGAGGCTTATGAACTGATCAAGACACTTGGTACCTACTCTCGTTAAAAAAAAAACAACAACAACAGCAACTTACTGAAATATGCAAGGCCCGAAAATGGTGGCTAGATTTTCCACAGGCATGTGATTTGATTGGCTGTGCATGGCCACTCTGCACAGGAAGTGGATGAGGTAGGATAAAATGTTGTGGTTGGAATTTGGGAGGCATGAAAGGCTTTCGCTCAGTCTCTGATTCAACTCGGGCTCATCTGTATGTCCTAAAAAAACACACACATAAGCATTAGATTATCATCACTGTCCCATGTTTTACTCACAATCATATGGAGAATCCAGTGTGGAATGTTTATTTCAGCTGTAGTAATTGTCAGTGCCTCGTGAAGTTATTAAAAAAATAAGTAAATGGTAAATTAAAGCATAATTCATTGCCCAACTTGTGTCTAGAAACTCTGAAACACTTGATTTTTGGGACAATGTGCCTCCTAAAACACCTTCTAATATCCAGAAGTACCTGTTAAGCTTAGAACCAGTTGTTGATGCAGGGGCTCTGGTATTACAGGTGTAGGCAATTCCCTAAGGAATTGTTTGAGAAGTGATGCAACAGTGGGAACGTCCCCCTGCTCCTCCAGGTCCACCCTCTCTCCCCGATCCCACTGCTGCCTCAGCTGCCTGGTTTGGGCCACAGATCCACACACGCGGAAAAGACCCCTGTGATGCAGTCCTGCAGCAAGGCAATGGATTCAGTCACTATACACTTTAGTTATATTTGAAAGCCAGAGGGTAAAACAAGGAGAAGGATATGAAGCTGTAATAATAATAATACTACTACTACTAATAATAATTATAAAGAAGGCAGTCAATATATGCCTTACTTACCGTGTTTATTTAAGAACTCCACCATATCTCTAAATGCATGGGGTATTCCACAGACCATCTGGCCATTCTTATTCAGAGTTTCCAAGGCAACACCAAAGACACACTTGTTAGGTGACACTCGGGCAGGAATGATGACCTCTGGGCTGACCCTCGCACTAGGCTTCAGGATTCTGACTGAAGAAGGGTCACTCTGTAGAGAGAGGGGGCCATTTTACCAAAGATTCGCAGGTAAAATCAAAGTTGGGTTTTGATGTTGTAATATATTCTACTTAAAGAGCAAGTCACCCCCAAATAAACTTTTTTTCTGATAAACTGTATAAATGCGTGTCTAATCGTGCTGCAGACACGTGTAGTCAATAGTTTTGCACCTTAGTGCATTTTAGTTAAAATTTTTATTTTCTGCCTAAAACTGTCAGTGTTGTACCATTGTCAGGTAAAAACTCTGCACTGTATTTGAATTTAAATCTGCCATCACTATTGGCTAAGGGGTACCCTAGGACGTTAGCTGGTACCATATGATGTCACAATGTCATTGTGAGCCTGTGTGTGTGTGTGTATTTGTTAACGGCTCCGCCCTCCCAGTTTGCTAGGCAATAGCATTTGTTGCATTTTTTAAACAGGAAGTGGGAGTGGAGTAATACTCTGGTAGGGGGTGACTTGCTCTTTAATCTGTTCTGATTCTATGATGAAGCTGATTTTGGTTCCCGTTTTTTGAGTTCCAATACAGAAATTCAATAAAAGGCGATTCCAACAAATCCTTTGGCTCCCTGATCATCTTTAATCTGCTCTAATTATAAACCTACAATAGTCGTTAATAGCAGAATCGTTAAATCACAATTGGTCCATCCATCCATGGTTGGGTCGCGGGGGCAGCAGTCAAGTACTTGGGCCAGCTCCTCTGGGCAAATCCCAAGGTGCTCCCTGACCAGCCGAGAGACAGTCCCTCCAGCGTGTGCTGGGTCTCCCTTTCTCTCACAGGGTTTCTCCCAGAAAATGAGTTTAGCCTGGCGGCTTTGGCCAGGGGGGGGGGGGTCCGTCCCGCAGCGCTCCTCTGTGAGAGCAGGGCGGGGAGGTTGCGCTCTCCATCCCGCAGCGCTCCTCCGTGAGAGCGGGGGTGGGGGTGGGGTGGTTTCACACGCTCCGCTGCTGTTTCTCACCAGTATCAGCTGATGGAGGACTCTAGTTTCGCTGCGCCGTTCGTGTCAGCGGATCGCGCGCTCCGTCCCACAGTGCTCATCCATGAGAGTGGGGCGGGGGGGGGGCGCTCTCCATCCCGCAGCACTCCTCTGTGAGAGCGAGGGTCGGGGGGTTGCACACGTTCCGCAGCTGTTTCTCACCAGTATCAGCTGATGGAGGGCTCTAGTTTTGTTGCGCTGTTTGTGTAAGCGGACACGGTAGGGTCGGGGAGGGGGGCGGGGCACGACGCTTAGCCTGGTGGGTGGGCAAGCAAAGCTTGGCAGCCCGCCAGGCTTATACAGCGCTGGGGAAAACCCTGTCCCAGTTGAACGTGCCCAGAAAACCTCACCAGGGAGGCGTCCAGATGACATCCTAACCAGATGCCCGAGCCACCTCAAATAGCTCCTCTCGTTGTGAAGGAGCAGCAGATCTACTCCAAGCCCCTCCCAGATGACCGAGCTTCTCGCCCTATATCTAAGGGAGAGCACAAACACCCTGCGGAGAAAACTAGTTTCAGTCGCTTGTATCCGCCGCTCGTGACTAAGGTGAGGGTAGGAACGTAGATCGACTGGTAAATCGAGAGCTTCTCCTTCCGGCTCAGCTCTCTCTTCACCATGACAGACCTAACCAATGCCTGCATCACTGCAGACGCAGCACCAATCTGCCTATTGATCTCCCGCTGTATCTTTCCCTCATTTGAACAAAACCCCGAAATACTTAAACACCTCCAGGCAGGACCTCATCCCTGACCCGGAGAACCTTTTTCCGACTCAAGACCATGGTCTCGGATTTAAAGGAGCTGATTCGCATCCCAGCTGCTTCACACTTGGCTGAGAACCACTCCAGGGAAAGCTGGAGATCATGTTCTATTTCTTCTAGTCTTAGCCTTTAAGCTAGCTGCTATCGGAAGGGTGATCTCAGCATCAGCCAATCATGAAGAGCTTAAATGTACGCCCACCAATGGCGGGCACCCCCATGGGTGTATAAATGGAGTGACTCCACTGTTCGCCTCTGCTATCTCTTCAAGCCAAGCTTAAGAGCTATCTTTAAAGAGCACTATCCTAGAGCAAATTATCTTCACCAACCATGTCCAGCAACGTCAGGACCTGCCCGGCCTGCCAGACGGGCTCCATCTCCAGTGGCGACCTTCACGCAAAATGTGAGGTCTGTCTCGGGGCTCACCACGCTGGTCTGGTCTTGACCCCTCAAGCCTTGTGCCTGTTTTATGCCGCTCTGCCTGTAGCTGAGAAAATCCGCCGGGTCGAGTACTTCACCCCAGCCGCTGGCGAGGAATTTCCGGTGGCTGAGACATACTCGCTGGACAAAGCCTTACAGTTCTTCAATGTCGGTCAGGAGCCGGCTGGCTCCTGGAAGATGACTACGACCTTGAAGAATACGAGGAGGCTGGCTGCCATAGCCTTTCTTCCCTTCTGGAAAACATGGAGGTCGACGAACCTCCCTCAGCAGGTTCCTCTGTTCCTTCATGCTCCTCCCTGCCAGTAGTCAGAGCACTGCTCCAGGAGCTACCTGCCATCATCTCTGCGGCTGCGGTCCACAAGGGGCTAGCCATCCCGGAATCGGCTCCGCCTGAAGCTGATGATTTGGCGGGAAGTTTTGGGGCCACACAAACACGGTGTCCAGACCCCATATGGCCATGATTCCCCGCTGCCATGAGCTGCTGGTCCGCCGCCTTCTCCGAGCCTGATAAGCTCAAAGCACCAGTCTCCACATATGCGCCCGTATCCAAAGTCGAGGGCTTCGCCGACCAGGGCTGTCCAACCGTTCCTCCACTGGAGCCAGACCTGGCTTCGCTGTTTTGGCGCCAAGAACCACCTCGCTGGCCAGCGAGTAGTTCCCACTTCCAAACATGACCAGCACCTGGCACGGCTCACCGACCGCGCACACCAGTGCGCTTTCCAGACCAGTGCTGCAGGAAATAACATCGCCCTTCTTGCCTTTGACGTCTCCAAAATGGTGGAAGAGCTCGACACTCCTGACGAGTCAAAAAACACCATTAGCAAGACTGCTGATGCCATTCTCAATCTGTGTGCTGCTGTACTCACCAGTTCTGCTCGCATTGCTGCCTGGCAGACCCTCATCCAGCGAGCCTTATGGTTCAAGGCCCTGCCCTCCATTCCTGAACACCTGCCCAGAGAAATGCTGGAAGGCCCCATCACCTCTGACGTTTTGTTTGGTCACCATCTTAGGAGCGCCATCGAGAGAGCTCAAAAGACAGCTGAACTGTCAGCCACAATGCGAGACCTGGTCCGCCCCCGGTCCACCTCTCACTCCGGCCACTCCTCCAGAGGATGGGACGAACACCGGGGCCAGCGGGGAAATTTCAAATGCCCAGCTGCACCGCCCGCCACTCGGGGCTGGCCTCCCGCTTCGGCTCCACCTCAGCTGGACCAGAAGCCTGACAACCAACGGTTCCGAAAGAACCAGCAGACATCATCCTGGCCTTCTCAGTCACAAGAACCTCGCCAAAAGCAACCAAGAAAATGACTCTTTAGGGGGAATGTGTGTGTTATTGACTGTAATGTTAACTCTGTGGCTGATGTTGGTTTTGAAATAAAACCCAAACAACGTTACATTGAGAGCAAAATCCTACAGTCCTCTGCAGAATCTTCTGCCGAATCCTCACAAAAGTTCCCCACACCAAGCACTGCGAAACACCTGTATGTTCACGCAGTCAATCACATGACACGCCCACAGCTGGCTGTAAAGGTGCGTTCCATTTGCGCGATGGCCCTAGCTTCCAGCCAGGCCCAACACACCTCGCTCCCCTCACAACGTAGGGTGGGGCGGATGTCACGACGCTATCGCGACCACGCATGGCGTTACAGTGTGCGGCCCCATCCGCTGGCACTTCATCGCCCCTGTGCACGGGCCCGGCTCCCAATCGTTCTTTATCTTTGGACACCATGCTCCACACTCCACGGTGCGAACCAGCCTCTTCCAGCTGTTTCACACTCGCCCTTTCGAGCGCAGCCCTCCATGGGTCGCTCCCAGTTCTCCTCTGGTGCGAGTGACGGTGGTAAGGGCACGAACCCAGTCCTCAGATATAGTTCACGTGACCTCGAACACGCGTCCGCTGTTGGAATGCGCACAAGGATGGTGCCGCCTTTGTCACATGAGCAAATGGATATCAGACACCATTCATTACAGTCACACACTCCATTTTCAGTCCACTCCTCCTCCCTTCAACGGGATCGTGGAGACGGAATTCACATCACAGGAACAATCTCAGGCCCTAGAGCTGGAGCTACGGGAACTTCTGTCCAAAGAAGCCATTTCCCAAGTTCCTCGCGGGCAAGAACACTCTGGCTTCTACTCCCGCCACTTCGTAGTACCAAAAAAGTCAGGAGGAATGACACCAATATTCAACCTTTCCCTGTTCAACTGCTCCATAGCAGTGATGCATTTTCGCATGTTAGCAATGAGGCAAGTCCCAGAATACATGCACTCCGGGGACTGGTTCACGTCAATAGACCTGACGCATACTTCCACATCCCAGTAATTCCCAAACACCAGAAGTTCCTGCGCTTTTCATTCAAGGGAGTTCAATACCAGTTCAGTCGTCTCCCTTTTGGCTACTCGCTAGCCCCACGCACCTTCTCCAAATGTCTGGAGACAGCTCTCCAGCCATTGCGCACAGCAGGAATGAGGGTTTTATTTTACCTGGAGGATCTGCTCCTACTCGCCCGGTCCAAGGACGAGGCTTCAGAGCAAACCAGGAAGTTAACAGAGCACCTGTCAACCCTGGGGTTTTCCATAAACTGGGAAAAAAGCTCCATCCTTCCATCCCAGTTGATTGTGTTTCTGGGGGTGGAGCTGAACGCCTCCCTAATGAGAGCACGTCTATCTCAGGCAAGAGCGGCAGGTCTCACCACTGCGATCTCCCGCGTGCAACCCCGCAAAATCGTGAGAGCCCTGTTAGTTATGGAACTTCTGGGCATGATGGCTGCAACCCACGCTGTGGTGCCATTAGGATTACTACACACGAGATGCCTG